CAAAGATCTCTAAAGACAAAGAGGGGCTTAGTCTTAAACTGGGAAAGTTTTCTCCTTTCTTTGAGTGTTGTTGTTGCTTCTGCTCAATGCGTTGTTGTTCTTTAGCTTGAGGTTTTGATGATGGCAAGGAACAGATGAAGAAATGGGGTTTCTTGTGTTCAAGGGTTTGATTCGAAGCTTCTTCCTTTGAGCTATTTTTATGGTGAGTGGATTTGTTGGGGTTTTTGAGCAGAGGAGATGGAGAAAGACGAGTTTGTTCTTCCGGAGCTAAAGAGTTATAGCTACTGTAGTAGCTGGAAGTGAAAGATAGGATTTTTATTAATAGATTGTACGGAAAAATTAGGGTTTTCGAAAAGTTTGTGACTTTGGGTTTTTCTGAAGTTGGGATTTAGACAATGAAGCTGTCAACATCTGGATTGGGTCAACAGGGTCATGAAGGTGTTTTTGTTTTCCTCTTTTAGTCTCTGATTTCAATTACTTTTGTTACTAGACAAGTTTTCTTAGTTTGTGTGTTTTGTTACAGGAGAGAAATGTTTGAATTCTGAGCTATGGCATGCTTGTGCTGGACCATTGGTCTCTCTTCCATCATCTGGTAGTCGTGTTGTTTACTTCCCACAGGGTCACAGTGAACAGGTTCCTTCTTCTTCATGCTTAAGTTCTTAAAGATTTTGTGAAGTGTTGTTTTAAAGTATGGAGCTTTATTTTCTTTTCACTTGTTTATATTTGGGCATTTCCATTTAAATTGAAGTGTACTTGTAGGTAGCTGCTACAACTAATAAGGAAGTTGATGGTCACATACCCAATTACCCAAGCCTACCACCACAATTGATATGCCAGCTCCATAATGTTACAATGCATGTGCGTAGTTAGTTCCCTGTCCTTTTCCAACTTCAATTTACTTTTTAAGTAGTTTTTGGATGATGTGCTTTGTAAGTATGGGTTTCGTTTCTACTTTTCAGGCAGATGTTGAGACGGATGAAGTTTATGCTCAAATGACCCTTCAGCCATTGACACCGGTACATACATTATATAGATAACGAGATTTGGGTTCACATAAGTCTGTGAATAAGTAGCTTGAACTTTTTAAATTGGTGTTGTTATAGGAGGAGCAGAAGGAAACATTTGTGCCAATTGAGTTAGGGATCCCGAGCAAACAACCTAGCAATTATTTCTGCAAGACTCTCACAGCTAGTGATACCAGTACTCATGGAGGGTTTTCTGTTCCTAGACGTGCTGCCGAGAAAGTTTTTCCTCCACTGGTGTGCACAATACTTTTTCTTTAACTTACTCATTAAAAGTTGTTACTTGCTATATGTTCTCCTTTGATATCTTGCCACTTCCATGTTGCAGGATTACACGCTGCAGCCACCGGCCCAAGAACTGATTGCAAGGGATCTCCATGATGTTGAATGGAAGTTTAGGCATATCTTCCGGGGTAGGTTTCACCTTTCCTTGGTGTGAGTTGATGATGTCTTTAATAGCATATATTGTTCTATCTGGGTTGGTTACTACTTCGATGACAGTCTTTTTAACTGTAGTCACCAGTATAAAAATTGCGTTTTTGGCGGTTAAGTATGTCCTGAAGCAGCATTCTGCTGTTATTTCTACTACTCTTGTTTGGTTAAGTTGAAGTAAATACGGATGCTCTGTGTTCTTTTCATAGTCAAATTGGAAGTATTACTGTTCATATTAAACCAGTTGATTTGTTCCCTTCTTCTTGTTTTGTTTGCTATATCAATTACTTACATAGTGTTGGTGTGATTATGCAGGACAGCCTAAACGACATCTCCTTACTACTGGGTGGAGTGTCTTTGTCAGTGCTAAGCGACTAGTAGCGGGGGATTCTGTCATTTTTATCAGGTTTAATTCTTTTGTTGGACGTCTACTTTGTGGACTGTGATTATATCTTTAACCCTATTTCTTGTTTCCAGGAATGAAAAGAATCAACTCTTTTTGGGAATTCGTCGAGCCACTCGGCCACAGACTATTGTACCATCATCTGTATTATCTAGTGATAGCATGCATATTGGACTCCTTGCTGCTGCTGCACATGCTTCTGCAACTAATAGCTGTTTTACTGTTTTCTTTCATCCAAGGTTAATACACCTCGTCGATCTGCATCCTCTTCTTCTCTTGATAATGTATTCTACTAATATTCTCTTCATGTTCAGGGCTAGTCCATCTGAGTTTGTGATACAACTTTCCAAGTACATTAAAGCCGTTTTTCACACACGTATTTCAGTTGGAATGCGCTTTCGCATGCTCTTCGAGACAGAAGAGTCTAGCGTCCGCAGGTGATGATGCCACGTATCTTGAAATGCAAATGTTGAAACTGACAAAGTTTATATCATTATGTTACACATATTACTTTAACATATTTTCTGACAGTGGCATGGGGAACTTTCCAGGTACATGGGTACTATAACTGGTATCAGTGATCTGGATACTGTCCGTTGGCCAAACTCTCATTGGCGATCAGTGAAGGTAACATTATTAAGCTGGTGACTTCGTAAAGATTCCATGAAACGCCACAGGATTCTGATGATCTAGTGTAATCTTGTAATTATATATTTAACTGGTTTTCTTTTAACATTGAAGATTTGGGCATTATTGGTATAGGTTGGTTGGGACGAATCGACTGCAGGGGAGAGACAGCCAAGGGTTTCGTTATGGGAGATTGAGCCTCTTACTACCTTTCCCATGTATCCATCTCTTTTTCCTCTCAGGCTAAAACGTCCTTGGCATGCTGGCACATCATCATTGCCTGGTATCTACCATCTGGCTCTTCTCCTAACTGTTATGTACTAGTGTAGGAAGTTCGGAAGTCTGTTACTGTCACTCAGATATCCAACTTTTGTTATTTTAACTTAGTTGCTAGTTCGGATAACTAGGAAATGTTGGATTGGTAACAAGCTCCGACGATGGTCTTCCTGTTATAATTTATTTACAAAGAAGTGTAGTTACTCTTCAGAGCTATTTACTTTAACCATTGTGATGTTGCAGATGGGAGGGGAGAATTAGGAAGTGGTCTAACATGGCTAAGAGGAGGAGGTGGAGATCAGCAAGGTTTGCTTCCTCTAAATTATCCGTCTGTTGGTTTGTTTCCATGGATGCAACAAAGGCTGGATCTCACTCAAATGGGGACTGATAATAATCAGCAATATCAAGCAATGTTAGCTGCTGGATTGCAGAACATCGGTGGTGGAGATCCTCTAAGACAGCAGTTTGTCCAGCTGCAAGAGCCTCATCACCAATATGTTCAACAATCAGCTTCCCACAATTCTGATTTGATGCTTCAGCAGCAACAGCAGCAGCAGCAGCAACAAGCATCACGCCATGCAATGCATGCTCAAACCCAGGTCATGAGTGAGAACATTCCACAGCAGAATATGCGACAAGAAGTTAGTAACCACCCAACTGGGCAGCAGCTGCAGCAACCAGACCAAAATGCGTACCTTAATGCTTTCAAAATGCAAAATGGTCATCTTCAACAGTGGCAGCACCAGGAAATGGCTTCGCCCTCGTTCATGAAATCAGATTTTACTGACTCAAGCAACAAATTTGCAACATCTGCAACTCCAATGCAACAGAACGCTGCTTCTCCGGCTTCTAATGATGGGAGCAATCTTTTGAATTTCTCAATAACCGGTCAGTCTGTACTGCCTGAACAGTTAACAACAGAGGGTTGGTCTCCAAAAGCATCCAACACTTTCTCTGAACCGTTGTCACTTCCTCAAGCCTATCCTGGGAAAAGTCTTGCTCTAGAACCTGGAAACCCCAACCTAAATCCCCAGAATCCCTCTCTTTTTGGTGTTGATCCCGACTCTGGACTCTTTCTCCCCAGTACAGTTCCCCGCTTTGCATCTTCATCAGGAGATGCTGAAGCTTCCCCTATGTCACTAACAGATTCAGGATTTCAGAATTCCTTATATGGCTGCATGCAAGACACAACTCATGAGTTGTTGCATGGAGCTGGACAGATTAATCCGTCTAACCAAACCAAGAACTTTGTAAAGGTGCTTGTTGGTTCTAAGCTTCACCAACTTCTCTGTGGCTCTGTTGTCTCTAAGAAAATACTGATTTGCTTACAAATCCAAAAATTGCAGGTTTATAAATCTGGTTCGGTTGGGCGTTCACTAGACATCTCCCGATTCAGCAGCTACCACGAGCTGCGAGAAGAGTTAGGGAAGATGTTTGCTATCGAAGGGTTGTTGGAAGACCCCCTTAGATCAGGCTGGCAGCTTGTATTCGTTGACAAGGAAAATGATATTCTTCTCCTTGGCGATGACCCGTGGGAGTAAGTAGAAGTTCTCTTCTTCTATTTTGTATACACTGTTTTAAATTTGAGATAGATCTTAAAAAAAGCTTGTGGTATGCAGGTCATTTGTGAATAACGTTTGGTACATAAAGATACTCTCGCCCGAAGATGTGCAGCAAATGGGAGATCAAGGCGAAGGCAGTGCCGGGTCATTCCCGCAAAACCCAACCCATCTCTAGAAGCTGCTTCGGTGTTGGTCCCATCCTTCTACAATGCAGGAAGCCTTTGTTTGCATTTGAAGTCACTTCCACTGATCTTAATATGCCATTCGTCCGCATCTCTCTCATTTTGACGTTTTTAGAAAGAAACATAATCATATTTGTGAGTATGGGTCCTGAAACTTTAGGGCGTACTTTAGCTTGTATTAGACAGACACTCTGGTCATAAACATAAGACTCTTTATTAGCTGTCTCAGATAACTCAGCTTTTCTAGTATTATTATTCTATTTTGTACGTTCCAATTTCCACTTCTCACCCATAAAACTTCTGAGACATTCTCTTTTGTAATGATTAAATTCTGATTTAGTCAAACCAACCAAATCTTTAAAAACACACACTAAATCAAGTCAGTGTTATCCAAAAGGTTCGAGTCAAGAACAACCATTAATAACAAATGCTACCAAGCTTCTATAAATGCGACACATTCATTCTTGATGCAATAAGATGTCTGAAAAAACTTCAGTTCAACAAAAAAGGCAAAAACTGCATTGAAGCTTTCTCAAACATAATGGAAGCCAAAAACTAGATCTAGTAATATTACACATTGATATCTTCAAACGTAAAATTTCAGAAAAAGGCAAGCTGAAAGATCTCCTAAACAAACCACATTTCTTATACTGAATGCAAACAGAGGATTTTGATTGAAAAATGACATAGGTGAAGGACCAAGAACTCATCTTCTCCCTTGCTTTTTGGTCCAGAGAGTACTTAAACGTGTGCAAACATCAGACTTGTCAACCTTAAGCAAAGCATCATTCATGGCAACTCTCAGTCTCTTATCATCTTTAGCATCATAGAAGCATTTGCGTCTCTTAGAGTCCCTTATGAGTTTTGCCCAAATCGAACCACTCTGAGACAGTGTCCTCTCATTTCCAATCACCCATAAACAGTGTCTTGCTCGAGTTAGTGCCACGTTGGCTCTTTGACGGTTAGTGAGAAACCCGACCTTCCCATTACCGTTACTTCTAACAGTGGAGATGATGATAACATCTTCTTCACCACCTTGAAACCCATCTACAGACCGAACATTCAAAGTGAAAAGATCATCTGAAAAGGAACTGTACTTATACCTGATTCTCTCTTGGATTGCTCTGACTTGTCCTTTATAAGGTGTAATCACTCCAACAGTCATCTTTATCTTTCTTTCACTTGAAGCTGTTTCAGAATTAAGCAAAACTAGTTTAATAGAATATGAGATTAATAAATACTTTAAAGCAATACAGATTATATACCTTTGAAAAGATTGGATATAATTTCAGAAACCACAGCAACTTCAATCATGTTTTTGAGACTGTGTCCATCACCAAACTCTTCCTTTCCACGTCCAACATTGATAAAAGAGAATGAACCAAACATTTCTCCTTCAAGAAACCTCTTTTGATAATTGCTTTCTTGAACATTCGCAGCATCTTTGATTCTCCCACCATAAAACTCCTTATTTGGGAAACAACTAATCGAAGGATGCATTCGGTATTGAACATTAAGCAAAAGTTTACTATGACCAAGTACAACCAATCTCTCGAACAAGCTTCTTCCAAATTTTGCCTTTTTGCATTCATCGTTGATGAACCAGTGCAGGTAACTGAAACTCATCTCCTAGTAGAACAGCATGACGCAGTCCCTGAAGTTGCAATGCAGCCACTGATTCACATTCCTTAAGCTGAGCCGCTTCGTCAACCACAAGAAATTCTACATTTCCTGTCCTTTCTCCATTCATTTCTGCAGTACCTGAAGCTGTACAGAAGATTATACATGCGTTTTGTAGACAAAAGTTCCTAATATCTTCTTCATTTTTAAACAAGCCTGGAACCTAAAAGCCTTCTGAAACCAACCTTATAGCTTTAATGCAATCAACACTGATGATTCAACAGAAATTTTAGGATGGTTGTCAACAGAAACATATGCAAGAAGCAACGGGTCCAAGTCACGGGAACTTCTTGGGGTTGTCTTTGTCAGAGCTATAAGATCTCCACAATGTGGTGGGTACTTTGCATCATTCTCTCCATCCATTAATCTTAAAGTGTGTAGATAACTGTTTCAACTTCCACTTGACTCCCATTTACTTTCCTCCAAGAAACTCATTTGAAAGAGAGGAGCTTTAGACAAAGATTTGACGCTTGAGCACAAAGGGGTTCGCGTCTCCTCAAGTAGGTGAGGAATAAAACACTTAAAGTATTCATTAGCGGAACTAAACCTGTCTGGTATTGTCTTTATCTGTGACAGAACCATTGATTACAATAAGAACCAAAAGATGTGATCCAAAGAAGAAAGGGTTACAAGAAATGAATAACCTTATCCTTGTAGAGATCTTTGTTGAGAATATCTTTGATAGACCAAGAAAATATCCTATCAAGTAAACTTGTTTTCTCCTTTCTTTCCATGATCTTTCACGTTTACTACCTTTCTTTCCTGCAATATTACATGACAGAAAAAACAAGCCAAGAGATAGGTACAAAGAGTGAAAAGCCGAGTGATGTTAATAGCTTTTTATTAGATGTGATTTTGTCTTACAAGGTGGTAGAGTAATAGGTAGGAAGTGAAGCTGCTAGAAGAGTGATGTAGAGAGAATCAACAAAAGTAAAGAGAGACCACAACGAAAAGAGTGGAGAATCATTATGCTAGTTTGCCCTGTCTATATAAGGAAGAAGAAGTCGAAAGGTCTTAGCTAAAATTTAAAGAGTTTTTTTTTTTTTCCTTGTGTTACAAAGTTACATAAAATGGCACATTTTCTATAAAAAATTTGAAAATATCACTTCGTAATATGGGGCATAAACACTAAAGTACTTTTACTATAGATACAAATGTATTTTTTTCTTTACCCTTTCTGTATAATTTTACGTCTTACAACTTTTTATTAAAACTCTTTGTTAATAAATTTATGATGGTTTTTCAAAAAATCGTTTGAGGAACTTTTGGAATATCAAATTTCACTAAGAATGGAATCACACACTATGTGCTCAGCCTTAACAATCTCCTTATCCCTTCTATATTGGGAAATACGGACAGGCTTTACCTTCTAATGGTAATGAGCTGCATAATATTGATAATCCTAGTTCATCCATGTCCTGCTCTTGCTGTACATTCACAAGGGATACTACCACATACTGACAGAATGATGCATAATTCAACTAACATGGTTGAAACTTTTACCTTTTCTGAGGCATTGATAAGTTGTTGCTCAAGATCATACATCTTCTCCTTCTTCTCCAAAAGTAAGTTGTCTGCTTCAAGCTCATTGAATCCCTACCTCCTCTGGCAGGTCGAACCACCTCATGCACTAGACCAGCGCAGGCTCTGCTATCACCAAACAATCGCGCTATCCAACATCTTAGAGCCACATAACTGCTCATTGGTAGGGGAAAATTCCCCTTGCACCTGAAGAATCACTTTCAACTCATCACTGTTCCTGATAACAGGGTTGCTCATAGCCTGCGCAAGTATTTCTCTAGTGCAACTCTTCTCTGCTCCACAAACACTTGTTTCTGTCAACTCCGAAGAAAGATGAAGACGCAACAGGAGGACCAGGACAGGTTCTAGAGAGTTTTATCGCATCCAGCAAAGAATCGGAGGTTAGAAATTGCATCTTTGATGCATATGCACTAATTGTGGACCATAGCAGATACAGCACGTAAAGCAGTCATGGCACAACAAAGAGTCCTCTCTGAGTTTCTCCAGATCTGTAAATTTAAGAATAGCTAGCTGGAAACACTCAAGCAATAATTGTCCCATGTTTGATCTTTAATCATATTAACACTCAATCAATAGTTTCTCTTGGCTCTTTCCATTTTGAGACAGAACAAGGATATGAATTCATCGATGTTCCAAATCCATTCCGAAAATATATTACATTGACGTTTAATCTTTCCTATGCAACAAATTTTTGACAACGAGTATCCTTGTGAATGTTCTGGCAACGAATGGAACAAAACCTCATACCACATAAGCAACAATTGTAGCCTGCAATATAACCACAAACCGAGCAGAAATGGCGACGAGAAGAACAACTCGGAGGTCCAACGGCTGCTTTCAAATAAGTCGGCACATGCGCTGGTAAGGACTCCAAATTTGCCTAAAACATATGATTCTTAGAAACCAAACTCTAATGACTAACCTCAGCCACAAAACTAACACAGCAACAAACTTAATCACTCAGTTATACCTCCTGCAATAGCTCAAGGAAGGATTTAGGAGCTCTACGAGCTTCTAAAGCTTTAGCTTGTCGAGTTTTACGCTTTGATCCTTTGTGTTGCTTCTTCTGTAAGTAACCTACCAACCCAAAAACACAGATTTAAACTACTAACTACAGATTCACACAGAGAGATAACTTCAAATGTGAAAAGATGTATTCACCAATATCATCGTCTTCATCAAGAGAAGCTTCTTCATCATCGTTCAAATCTACCACTTCAATAGCACCATTGTCGTTCTCTAAAGCCTCAAGCCGAGCTATAGCAGCCTAGACTTAAACCATTTTTGAAAAACAATTCAATTTTTTTTCCCAATACAAAAAAAATGATTCTGAAAAATCAAAAAATTTCACCTGAGTTCGATTGTCATTGCTTGTAAGAGCCGCCGCCATCTTCGTAGCAACCTTACGAGTCCGACTCGATACTCGACGATTCACCGGCGTCATCTCTTCCTCCATCTCGGAAATTTACTCAGTTCACCGGCGGCGATGGTTGTGCAGCGGCGGTAGAATTGTATTACGCGGTGACTCTCTTTTTAGGTTATATTTTCTTAGACATTGTCATATCAGCCCATTGGGCCTTTTGTTTTAACTAATTACCAAAGCCCAAAGTAAATATGAAACGTGATAATCAAGTAATTAAGCCTGCTTCTATATTGAATTTTTTTTATTGGAATTACAAACTAAAAAAAACAAAACAATCTCTCAATAGTACAAGATTATACAACTCAACACAGATTTAATGTAATTTAAAGAAACCTAATCAATTAGTTTTGGATTCACAGAGAACCCTAAAAAAAAATTAATAACCTATCAATGTGAGTGATGAGACCAAGGAGAAATTAATCTCTTGTAATCAAACTTGCCATTCAAGAAACCATCACCACCCTTTTGGTTCCTCACTTGTTGTTGCACCACCAACACTGATCCTTCTGAGGCAAAGACGCTTCCAGCCACAGTATCACCAATGACTCCAAGCTGATGGTCTTCACTCCACGTGGACAAACCTTCTAGAATCTTTGGGTTGATCCCTTCTCTTCTCCCAGTGATCCATAGATCATAGTCGTTAACGTTCATTGCTTGGATCGCAGCTAATGTCTCAGCACCGTTCTTGACTACTACTTCTTTGTAGCTGACCTTGTCATTGCTTTCGTTCTTGACCCAAAACCATGTCACTACACCATCGTCTAGCTTCTTCTCTCTCTCGTCTTCTCCTTCGTGGTTGTACGACAAGAATCGGATCACTGTTAAGTTTACGTCAGGGTTTGTAGTCATTCTATCTGCTAAATGCAGAGCTTCTCTGTTATCAGCTCCTCCTAAAAACAGAACAACGAAACGGTATGTTTCTTGCCTTACACGGCTTGAGTTTGTTGAGTGTTGTAAGTCCATTGATAACCTAACCACTGCGTTATTGAGCCGTCCCTTGTCGTAGTAGATACATACGGAGCATGGTGTGTGTGCTAATACGTCTGCGTTCACGGTTAGCATACCGGAGTCACGTAGCTCGGTAGGTGCTGCGTCTTCAAGACGCTCTTTCTGATAAGGTAAGAGGATGAAAGCTGTTTTCTTGGCTAAGGCTAGCTCGCAAATGTCTTGGTACATGAGACGCTTTGGTGAATGAGCGGTGTAGGCACGTAGCGTCACGCACTCTTCTCTTTTCTCTTGGTATAACCTAAAGGCGCTTTGTACTTGGTCTACTCGTCCACTTTGCGTACGCTCAGGCTCTTCCTCTCCCTCCTCGTATTCGTCATCCTCCTCCTTTCCTTCCTCGTGGTCAATAAACAATGGTGTGGCTCTCCCGGTTAGTTCCACCAGCTGGACTGCGAATATAGACAAGGGACTAAATCTTGTGGGATAAGCAAAGTCGAGGAAGGTGATTAACCCGGACAAGGATTCATTGTTGGAGACTGCAAGAACCAGTCTCATCTCGGTGTTCTGAGGAGTATGTTGGATGGTACGGTGTTTGCTGCTTCTGTAAGGACGATTCGGATCGTAGAGAAAGCTAATGAGTGGCGTCATTACAGCCGTAACCACAACCGCTTGCAAAACCATGACTGTGAAGCCGGGAAATCCAACAATACGTTTATCGATCCAATGCAAGTAGACCAATATATCCATTTGGCCTCTCAAGTTCATCATCAACCCAAGTGTGATACTTTCCCTAGCGGGGACTTTAAAGAAGAGAGCCGTGGAAGCTGTGGAGAGAAACTTGCTGATGAAGGCAACAATGGTCATATAGAAGAGAGGAGAGAGATGGCTATCCCATAACTCTTCGTTAATGAAGTGTACATTAGTGCCTTGTCCCACCAAAGCAAAGGAGAAAGGCATCAAAAACTCATAGATGAAGGTCTCACTCCGAACAGCCAACGTCGAACCCAAAGGTGGACCATGAGGGACAAGTAACCCTAGCCATATTGGTCCAACGGCTATAGAAAGACCAAACATGTCAGTGAGGAAACAAGAAGCAAGAACACCCATGAGAATCATAACAATGTAGTTTTGGTTCACGAGTTTCCCTTCAGGCGTATGGGAGACAATCCAATCAAATGCTCGTCTAACAACAAGAAGCATAAAAGAGGCAAATATGACAACCGATATTAGAAACCATACGACGGAATATGCTCCTCCTACATCCAAATGCGTCATGGCTTCGAAAATAACAATCACGTAAACCCCTGCCATGTCTCCAAGGAGAGCTACCGACATGGCAAACTTGCCAACTTCGGAGTTGAGAAGGTTCATATCTCTCAAAACGGTGTAAATGACAGGGAAAGATGTGAAAGCTAAGGCGAAAACAATCCCTCCAATGGACGAAGGCTTCTGCAAGCTTTCATCCATTTGGTCCTTCATAGCGATCCCCATGGCTGACACACAGATAATCGGCACGACAATGCCCATAGCCGCAATGTACTTGTGTTTTCTTGGTGCCCTCCTAATGGCTGTGATGTCCGTCTTGGCTGCCGTGAGGAAGAGGAAGTAAAAGAATCCCATTAGTCCTATGTTTGCGCATATGTAATTCGCGATCGGTGGGAATAGATAGTAATTGAAATTTCTGCTTCCTCCAAGTAAGGATGGTCCTATCATCATTCCACCCTTCAAAACACAAAAAAAAAAAAAATTCAAATATTAGATTATATTAACTATAAAGAAAATGCAAATATAAGATCGGTGGTGAACGAACAATGATCTCGCTGACTATACGTGGTTGGCGAAAAGGCCGAAGAAGGAAGCTAACGAGTTTGATGCAGGAAATAATGATGATTGCTTCGATCAAAAAGGTCGAAAACCCGTAGTTCATCCCATTTTCGCCTTTGAACATTCCAAACGGCTGCTTAGTATGAAGTTTCCGGCATACTACCGGAAGTTTTGGGGAGAAAATACGGCTGCTGACCTCTGCAGGGGTGGTTGAGTTGCCCGGCCAAAACCCAAAATGGGTAGGCAGGACACTCTGGTCATTGATGGGGAAATGCCTAACCATACAAACTAATCTTTCATAATCAAGATTTGAGCGTAAAGCAAACGATAATGATCATCGATAGAGACAAGAAAAGAGATCCATGACTGATGTAAAAAAATTTCAATAGATGTGGACGTGCGTCATTTAGGGAACAATTTTAGTTCTTGCTTTACTCTTCATTTTTTTTCATCATTATTTAGTTTTTTTTATAATCAAAATGAAATAAAATACATATGTTTTGCGGTATCTATATCACAATCTATATTATTCACTCGGTAGAATGCCTATTTTTAGTATAATCATAGTAGCCAACGAAAGTGAACCACTTGGATTGTTTTCTTTTTACATATTTTAAGAACCATTTATTTATTTTTTGATAAGAATGTAAATATCTTTTCAAGATATGAATGATTAGGTTTTTCATGGAAAAAATTCTTTAAAATATGGTCTCATGCGAAAAAAAGAATGTAAAAACATGGAAGCATATACATTGGAAAAATTATTCAGTGGTAATTGGTAAAGCTTTTGGTTAGACTCTTAAGATGAACTCGATAAAAAAATATGCATATATTCATGCTCGTTAGGGATAGTGCCATGATTAAACCAATATTGTACCTTTGTATACTATATCATTCCCTACATTTAAACTCACGCATTTTGACAACTCTAACTCTATATACTCTATGAGCTTGATCAGACACAACCAAACTAACTTGAAAGAACATAACATGAATACATGATTATGAAATAAATCAGCTTTCATTTGCTTACCATTTGACAAACAAAGATACACCATCAGAGTCCAAAAACCATAGCAATCCAACAGGTGTTGATCAGCCATCATCTTCAAGGCCATAACCATCAACAAGTGGTAGTTGCATAAGTCTTTTTTTTTTCTTATATGTAAAACTCACAATATAAGTTCCATTTCTTTTCACCCTAGCTCTTACCATGATTATGAAATAAATCAGATTCCATCTGTTTAATCTGACAAACAAAGATACATTAGAGTTCCAAAATTCGTTCCATATAATGCAAATGGAATCAATATGGGTGTTCATCTGATGGGAAAATATTTATAAAGAAAAGCGAAATCTTAAATTAAACCGGTCTAACGTTTTACTGTTTTAGAAAACCTTATGCATAAAAAAAAAGAAAAATATGTATTCTATAAATAATATATACATATAGATTTTCTTTATACAATAACTTCATTGACATTTTGCTAAAAAAAATCCCACCAGCACAGTTGAAAAATGACCTAAATAATATTATTATTATAAAATAAAGATTTATAATAAACCAAATTATGTAATAAGCCTACAAATATTACAAAAAAAAAAAAAGCAAAAAAATGATTCATGACTTCACATTGTTTGTATTATGGGCCGACATGAACGTAGCCACATATCTTTATGATAATTTGAAAACCCAAGCTAATAAGGAAAGCATAAATAAACACGATTACGATTTACCTAAATCACAATTGCTATAACTAATACTTCTAAGTTCTAATTTATTTAATTTAAAGTTCCTCTAAACTTAATCCTTTGGTTTAATAATCTCAAAAGCAAAGTAAAAACACTCAACCCTTAATTAAAATTTGGTTTGACGACTAAGTAGTTAACTTGTGTCCACTACCATCAATGGCATGGGGAAGAAGAAAGGTCGGGGATTTTAGAACAAAGCATTACCTAACTAATCTCTCGTAAAATAAAATGAAACAAAAGTAATGATTAGTAGTTTAAGTATACAAGTAATAATAATAACTCTGTCAGGACTTTACGAAGTCGAAGTGTCATCTTCGGTTGTTAACCATTACATATTTTAAATTGAATAATAATGATAAAGAAAACAAAAATTTCTTGGAAAATGTTGAAGTTTTCGAAAGTGTACGTTGGACCTTTCATCTTCGTCTTCGTCTTCCTTTATAAGTAGACCAAACTAATAGCGAGAGTTCACTCAGATTTGTCTTCTTTGTATTCTCTCTTTGAAAAAATTTACTCTCTCATTCTATTCTTCTTGCCTTGTAACACAAGTTACGTATAAAGGTTATTTCCAACGTAACTCTTGTTAGTTTCTAGCTGTTGCTTTGATGGACTATCTTCTTGAAAGACGAAGGGACAGGGTCATGGATCAGAACGAGAAAACAAGCCTGGTCGATAAAGTATTCTCTTGGTCTATCAAAAACATTCTCAACAGAGATCTCCATAAGAACAAGGTTTATGTTTTGTTTATCTCTTTTAACCATTTTCGTCGTTACATTTCTATGTTTTATATATTCCTTACCACTGGTATGTTTTGTGACAGATGAAGACAATACCAGACAAGTTTAGATCTACTGATGAGTACCTTCAGTGTTTTGTTCCTCATCTACTTGAGGAAACACGTACGGAGTTGTTCTCGAGTTTCAAGTCTGTATCCAAATCTCCTGTCTTTGGAATTAGTTCAGTGGAGTTTAAGGCTTCAAGTGGAAGCTCTGGCTCATCGAACCATTTGTTGTATGGTATAAAAATAAACAATGCATTGAGTTTTGGTGCAAAGTATCAGCCTAAAGGTGGAGATCTTATTGCTCTGACAAGGGAAAGGCCAAGACGGATCGATGACTTGAATCCTTTGCTTCTCGCCTACGTATCCTCTGATAGTGATCTTACTATATATGTTCATCCGTCTAGATCCATATCAGATCTTGAAATAAACCAGACCAATGAAGCTTCACTTCAGTTTGGTGTTTTTCTCATGAATATGACAACAAACACTCGGATTTGGAACGCTTTGCATAACGAAGCTGCCAATTCAGCTCTAGTCAAGAGTGTGCTTCAAGAAACTACTCTGGTAGGTGTTATCATGATTACGTTCTCTCTTTGTAGCTTAATCACATATCTTTATTTTATTCTGCTATTAATTGATTTAAGGTCTTGCTTGTGTTATAGGCAACTGAACATTGTGATCGTTGTGTTAATGGTCCTGATGGTTCTGACCGTGTTTTGGACATAATCCGTTCTGCAAAGTTGAACACTTCCCAAGAAGCTGCAATCTTGAGCTGCCTTGAGACAAGGAACAGCCACCACGAGGACAGTGTGAAGCTGATTTGGGGACCTCCTGGCACTGGCAAAACAAAGACGGTTGCAACACTTCTCTTTTGCCTTCTTAAGCTTAAGTGCAAAACAGTTGTTTGTGCTCCAACAAACACAGCTATTGTGGAAGTTGCATTGAGGCTCTTGTCCTTATTTAAGGAAACTTGTGAACCACAACACTCTACTTATGGGCTGGGGAATATAGTGTTATCCGGGAACCGCGACAGAATGGGGATTAAAGAAGATGGTGTTCTTCTTGATGTGTTTCTTGATGAGCGCGTTGGTAAACTTGCTAATCTTTTTTCTCCATATTCTGGATGGAAGCAGAGATTAGATTCACTGATAAAGTTTCTTGAGAACACTGAGGCCAAGTACGAGAAGTATGTCCATTTACTTGAAGAAGTTGAAAGAATGAAAGAAGAAGAAATGAAGAAGAAGAAGGAAGCAGCTGACAAGAAGAAGCAAGAAACGAAGGAAGTAGCTGAACAGAAGCCAAAAGCCGTAAAGATTCTTACATTTGGGGAGTTTGTAAAGAAGACTTTCGAGAGAGTTAGTGAAGAATTGGAGAAAGATATGGTTGATTTGTACAAGAAGAAGCAAGAAACGAAGGAAGTATCTGAACAGAAGCCAAAAGCCGTAAAGATTCTTACATTTGGGGAGTTTGTAAAGAAGACTTTCGATAGCCTTAGTGAAGAATTGGAGAAAGATATGGTTGATTTGTACACGCATCTTCCCAAGTCATTCATTTCATTAAAGCAAGTGAAGAGTATGGTTGCAGCTCGTCAAGCTTTTCAGAGAGTTAGATATTTCTTGGAAGAGAATTATAACAGAGAAGATTTCAAGAAGGGAAGTTTCAAATTTGAGTGCTTCAACAGAGTCATTAGTTCTGATTGTCTCCAGGCTCTACGTTTACTTCCCGGACGTTTTGAGGTTTCAGACATGTTGGAAAACAAAGATACTAAGAACTTTTGTTTACAGAATGCTGACATAATCTTCTGCACAGCCTCAGCTGCTGCAGATATGAATCCGATAAGGACAGGACCGATAGACCTTCTTGTGGTCGATGAGGCGGCTCAGCTTAAAGAATGTGAATCAGTTGCTGCTTTGCAACTCTATGGTCTTCGTCATGCTGTTTTAATAGGAGATGAGCTTCAGTTGCCTGCAATGGTTCATAACGAGGTATTTTTCTCTCTCATCTTATATGAAACTATCATTCCTTTTTCGAGTAGTATAAAATATGGTTTTCTAATTTTAGAATTATGTGGTAGATATGTGAAAAGGCCAAATTTGGAAGAAGCTTATTTGAGAGATTGGTTATTCTTGGTCATAGCAAGCACTTGCTTAATGTCCAATACCGAATGCATCCTTCGATTAGTCGTTTTCCCAATCGGGAGTTCTATGATGGACGAATCACTGATGCTGCGAATGTTCAAGAAACCATTTATCAAAAGAGGTTCCTTCAAGGAAACATGTTTGGTTCATTCTCTTTTATCAATGTTGGACGTGGAAACGAAGAGTTTGGTGATGGACATAGTCCCAAGAACATGGTTGAAGTTGCTGTCATTTCTGAAATCATATCTAATCTTTTCAAAGGTATAAATATTTGTTATCGATATTTTTATGTTTTTTCATTTTTAATTTTTGTTAATTCTTCTTAACATTTTGGGAATAGTTTCAAGTGAAAAGAGAATGAAGATAAGTGTTGGAGTGGTTTCACCTTACAAAGGACAAGTTAGAGCAATCCAAGAGAAAACCAAAAGCAAGTACGGTTCCTTGTCAGGTGATCTTTTCACTTTGAATGTTCGGTCGGTAGATGGGTTTCAAGGTGGTGAAGAAGACATTATCATCATCTCTACTGTCAGAAGTAACGGTAATGGTAAAGTGGGATTTCTCAACAACCGTCAAAGAGCTAATGTGGCACTTACTCGAGCAAGACACTGTTTATGGGTTGTTGGTAACGAGACAACCTTGGCTCTAAGTGGTTCCATTTGGGCTAAACTGATAAGTGAGTCGAGAACACGTAAATGCTTCTTTGATGCTACCGAGGAGAAGAACCTAAGAGATGCAATGAATGATGCTTTGCTTGAGGATGTGTCTTCTAGTTTTGGTTCTCTTTCGATCAGGAATGGTCTTGGGAGAAGAAATGCTTGGTAGATGTGTTGTTTTCTTATCTTAATTATCTTCTTCATGTTTTTTATTTTCCTATTAAAAACTCTGTATGGGATTTATGATGCTCTTTGATATTTATGGCTTTTAATAACATTTTTTTTGCCTGATTCTCGTATCAAGATATAGCTTATTGTTTTCCAATGAGCTTATTTCAAACCACCTTTAGAAACTAGTTATTCTGACCCTTACTAGTTCTTAAAATTTTAACATCTTACAACTTTAGTTAACTGTTTCATTGTGTCACATCTTTCTTACACTATATGGTTTTTGTTTATTTACTCGAAACTGATAAAACCAAGTGCTAATAGCTCAATTGGTAAAGATTTCTAGCAAATATGCTTAGGATAAAGATTAAAACTAGAATAATGTTACATGTTCTTTATATATAGACAATTCTTCATTATCCATAGGATTTGGGAAATCAACATAACAAATTGAATTAATCTCTCTCGAAAAGGAAAAAGAAGAAAATTTTTAAATTAAATTGCTCTATACTATTTCACTCTACGAATGCAAAGTGTCATATTTGGTTCATAATGAATAAATTAAAAAAGAAAATTGAATTGCATGCATTATTTAATAAACAATTTCTTGGAAACATATTGAAACTTGAGTTCATTTCCAAAGTCTTTTTGGACTTTTCGCCTTCTTCTTCCTTATAGGTAAAACCAAATTGATAGTGACTTACACATACATCGATTCTTCTTCACAACTCAAGTATTTTCGCCTCTCCATTGATACTTCTGTTCAAATCCTCTTTAAAAAATATTTCTTGTCTTCCAAGACAAGCTAAGTCTTTTGGTGATTTTCAAAACCTATCTTAGTTTTGTATCCCCCGTTGATCTGATGGATTACAAAGAAATACGAAGGATCTTGGCAAAAGAAGAACAAACAAGTCTGTTCGCTAGTGTATGTTCTTGGTCTATCAAAGATATCCTCAACGAAGATCTCTACAAGGATAAGGTTTTTGATAGTTTTAAAACTTTCCTTTTGATCAGTAGCTTTATCTTCTGTACTTCTTGAATCTTGATGGTGTATTTTTGTGTGTAACAGATGAAGACAATACCAGACAGATTTAGTTCCGTTGATGAATACTTTCAGTGTTTTGTTCCTCACTTACTCGAGGAAACAAGAACCGAGTTGTTCTCGAGCCTCAAATCTTTATCGAAAGCTCCTGTCTTTCAAATAGATTCCGTGGAGACAAGAACAAACGAATTTTTTAGAAGGACATCGATTAAGATGTTCCATGATATAACATTAACGAATTATGATGCAGACGACAAAAGTGAAAAGTACGAGCCAAGGTGTGGAGATGTTATTGCGCTAAGTCCTCTGAGTCTGACAGAGGAAAGGCCAAGAATCGATGACTTGAATCCTTTACTTCTAGGTTACGTATTCTCTGTTTCTGGTGGTTTAGAATTCTCTGTTCACTTCTCTAGACCTATACCTAAGAATGAGAAACATCTGTTTCGCTCTGGCGTTTTTCTTATGACTCTAATAACAAACACTCGGATTTGGAATGCTTTGCACAACGAAGCTGCTGATTCCACTCTAATCCAGAGTATTCTTCAGGAAGATGCATCCGTACGTAACATAACAACATTAATCTATTTTATGCTTCAATGGAGTGATTTGTGGGATTACTTGTCTTGCAAGTTACTGAACATTGCTTTTCTTGTGGGTTTACTTGTCTTTCAGGTTACTGAAGAATGCTTTTCTTGTGGGCATGAAGACGTTGATGGTTCTGATTCCGACAGCGTTTTGGATATAATCCGTTTAGCAAAACTGAACTCTTCACAAGAAGCTGCAATTTTGGGTTGCCTTAAGACAAGGAATTGTAATCACAAGAAGAGTGTAAAGCTGATATGGGGACCTCCTGGTACAGGCAAAACAAAGACGGTAGCGACTCTTCTCTCTGTTCTTCTCAAACTAAAGTGCAAAACAGTTGTGTGTGCTCCTACAAATACAGCTGTTGTAGAAGTTGCATCGAGGCTATTGGCTTTATCTAAGGAAACAATTGTGTGTGCTCCTACAAATCCAGCTATTGCTGAAGTTGTATCAAGGTTCTCGTCCTTGTTCTATGGAACTTCTACATTAGAACGTACCACTTACGGTATGGGGAATATAGTTCTTTCTGGAAACCGCGAAAGAATGGGGATTATGAAGAATAAAGCTCTTCGCAATGTGTTTTTTATTGAGCGCGTCACTGTACTTGGTAAGTTGTTTTCATCATCTTGTGGATGGAAGAAGAGGTTGGAGTCAATCATAGATTTTCTTGAGAATACAGAGGCTAAGTACGAGCAACATGTACATGAGTTAGAAGAGCTTGAAAGGGTGATAGAAGAGGAAAAGAAAAATAAGAAAGAAGAAGATGAAAAGAAGAAGGAAGATGGTGAGAAGGTGACGGAAGAAGTTGAAGAGACGACGATGCAAGAAGTTGTAAACATCCCTACATTTGGAGAGTTTGTGAAGAAGAAGTTTAATGACTTAACTCAAGAATTGGAATTTGATATGGTTAAGTTGTGCACTCATCTGCCTAAGTCTTTCATTTCATCTAAAGATGTGAAGAATATGATAGAAACCCGCCAAGCTCTTCACCGCGTTAGATGTTTCTTGCTAGAGAATTCTTCTAGAGATGATTTCAAGAAAGGTGGTTTCAGATACAATTGCTTCAACAGACTCATCAGTGTTGATGCTCTTGGGGCTCTATGTCTACTTCCTAAGTGTTTTGGGATTCCTAGTCTAGGAGATGATGATATTAGGAAATTTTGTCTAGATAATGCAGACATAATCTTCTGTACAGCCTCATGTGCTGCAAATATGAATCCAACAAGAGTAGGCTCTGTCGATCTTCTTGTGATCGATGAGGCAGCTCAGCTTAAAGAATGTGAATCGATCGCTGCATTGCAACTTCCTGGTCTTCGAAACGCGCTCCTAATAGGAGATGAGTATCAGTTGCCAGCAACGGTTCATAACGATGAATGCGAAAAGGCGAAATTCGGAAGAAGCTTGTTTGAGAGATTGGTTCTCATTGGTCATAACAAACATTTGCTTAACGTTCAATATCGAATGCATCCTTCGATTAGTTCTTTTCCTAACAAGGAGTTTTATGATGGGAGAATCACGGATGCAGCCATTGTTCAAGAAAGGGTTTACGAAAAGCGGTTTCTTCAAGGTAACATGTTTGGTTCATTCTCTTTTATCAATGTTGGACGTGGAAGAGAAGAGTTTTGTGAAGGACATAGTCCCAAGAACATGGTTGAAGTTGCTGTCATTTCTGAAATCATATCCAATCTTTTCAAAGGTATATACAACTTTTTTTATTTGTATAATTTTTCATAACTCTTTTTTTGGTTAATTAAGTTGCTTAATCTTGAGACAGTTTCAAGTGAAAGAAGGCAGAAGATGAGTGTTGGAGTTATTTCACCTTACAAAGGACAAGTGAGAGCAATCCAAGATAGACTTGGTGATAAGTACGGTTCCTTATCAGGTGAGCTTTTCAGTTTGAATGTTCAATCAGTAGATGGGTTTCAAGGAGGTGAAGAAGACGTTATCATCATCTCCACAGTTAGAAGTAACGTTAATGGAAACGTTGGATTTCTCAATAACCGTCAAAGAGCCAATGTGGCACTTACTCGAGCAAAACATTGCTTATGGGTGATTGGTAACGAGACAACTTTGGCTCTAAGTGGTTCTATTTGGTCAGAACTGATAAGTGAGTCGAGGACTCGTGAATGCTTCTATGTTGCAGTTGAAGACAAGAATCTAAGAGATGCCATGAATGATGCTTTGGTTGATGATGTATCGTCGAGTTTTTGATCTTTTTCGATTAGGAATGGTTATGAAAGAAGAAATGGCTGGTAGACTTTTATTTTGTTATCTTTGTGTTTTTTTGTTTGTTTTCTATGATTACTTTGTATGGGATTAAAGATCTTTTATGGTATATTTATTTATGGTTATTGTGAAATTTCACTTTTTATATTCAACTCTTATAAAGTTGCCTGTAAATGATGGAGCATGGATTCATCATACAATGATACGTTCTCTAGTCTAATTTGTAGCATAAAAAGAAAAGTCTATGTTATGCTACAATTGAGTGATGTGTGGGTTTTACTTGTCTTGCACGCTACAGAACAATGCGTTTATTGTTCAAATTTTTTTTTTCTTTTTTTCTTTTGAAATGAAATTATATGAATTTTATTAAATTCGAAATGTGTTAATAAAAATGTAAGAGGGTCTAAATTTTTTTGCAATGTTTTGAAAAATAACTCTTTATAATCTGTAGTTTAAAACTTTATAATTCCTACAAAACCTTATAAAATCTTATAATCATTTAACCACATGCGTTATAAGGCTTATAATGAAAATAAATATATAATTAAGTGATTTCAAAATGGATTTTTAGCCAATTATTCCTAAATTAACTTAAATGACATGCCAATTAGACAAATTAATTAAAAGTACATAAATTATATTTAACTATGAGTTTTGCAAAGCCCCACAAACAATTGTTTGAAGTATAAACATGACATTTGAAGTTTAACTTGGAGAAAAATGTCTTTAGCCAAAACTAATAATCCATAGCACCAAATTTGTGCATTTTATTTTATAAGATTAATCAATTGTTTGTTTCTGCGAATTCTAATTTCTTAGTAACATAGTAAACCAACAAACATTAAAATGGGTGCATATGAAAATCATTTTCCAGTCTTTGTTACATGAACCCAACAATTTTAATACAAAACAGTTAAGTCCTACTAATCCAGCCTCATAAAACTTCACCAAAACTCCTAGACACGAATTTCTTAAGTTGAGCCACACATCAACTCCTAAGTTTTGTGAAAACCTCACGCATCTTTTTCTTCTAAGAATAACAATTCAAACTCCTTTGAGGCATCGATTCTATCGCATGAGTAAATAGCTGAATTGTAACATAGTCTGCCATAAACAAACCAAGCTAACCGGAAACTGTATGATGAAGTAAAGCTGCCCCAAAATGATAAATCTTAATCAAACTTCTTAGGATCCAAACTGTTACAAGAATTACAATGGTGACATAATGCTTCAATAACCCAAACGCAACCTTGTCTTTTTATCCAAGAAATATAAAGTTTCGAGATATTTATAAAGGTTTATAACTAACCAAAATAATTATAAACAAGATGATTTAGTAATTTGATGCTTAGTATTTAAAAAATTCCCGCCTAAGTCCAATTACTGCCCGTGTAATCGCTATGCCCACTTTATCCATTTTGATTAATGACTAATCCCCGCCTACTTTTTTATATCGGTTATTAAGCATTTAGATCGAGAGATTTTGATGTTTTACAAAAAACAGTATTCAAAATTTTAATGAAAATCATAAATTTGGTTCTAAAATTATGTTTTCATTTATTTACAACAACTTTGAAGCCAATATTATAGTTTTATATGTTATATTATGTTTTCTCATTAACAGAAATCAAATAGTACATATAATTAATAACATATATTTATCTTTTTATATTACTTTAAGGGGGAATTTCAAAAATACCCCTTTTCATATACCTATTTTTAAAAATACCCCTTTTTCAAACTTTATAAAAAAACCCACTAAAAATGTTGAAATTTATCCAAATATGTGTGTAAGCTTATAAATATATACACAAATTACCTTTATATGTGTATAAAACTTTATATATCTTTCATAAAATAGCGTAAAAATAAATTATAAAAACCTTATAAAAACCATATAAACCCTTTTAAAAACCTTTTAAAACCTTATAAAACTTATAAAAACGATTTAAAACTATTTAAAACATATTAAAATATTTGTATCGAATCTCCTAGTAGTAGTTATTATATAGAAATACCTTATAAACTATATAAAACTTTATAATTTTTTATATTTGAAAAGGGGTATTTTTGAAAATTGATAGATAAATGGGGTATTTTTAAAAAGGGTACACTAAAAGAGGTATTTCTCAAAAATTCTCTTAATTTAATGAAGTAATCCTAAAACCAGTTCCGGATTAAAATCATCGTTTTATCTTTGATTTTCTTGCTAGGCGTTGGCCTCCGACTAGCGCCTCGATTTTCTAAATATTGAACCGAAGTCAATACCCTCGTCTCTAATACGACACCGTTTGACATGAATAACGTTTAATCCTCAAAACCTCGTCTCTAATACGACACCGTTTGACATGAATACCGTTTAATCCTCAAAACTTCGTCGTTTTGGGCAGTTAAGGATGGTTCTTCTTCTTCTTCTTCTCTAATCAAAGTCATTTCAGATATTTTCAACGAGATCTCTCAGTTTCTTCATCAGAAAGCAAAGGTCGTATCAATGGCGATCACCGAGTTTTTACCTAACGAGTACGGATACGTCGTCATCGTCGTCGTCTTCTACTGTTTCCTCAATCTCTGGATGGGTTTCCAATCGGCGGAGCTCGCAAGAGGTTTCTTATTTTACTTTCACAACCTTCCGTATCGATTAGATCTAAATCGAGCTCTGTTTCGTGAATTTAGTTTTGTTTATGAAAATTGATTCGATTTTGTTGAGTTTGATCATCATCATCATAAGAAGATTTTGAATTGCAGGTACAAAGTTTTTTACCCAACATTATATGCAATTGAATCGGAGAACAAAGGTGCTAAGCTCTTCAATTGTGTTCAGGTTTGTGAATTTTTTTGTTAATCGATCAATTTTACAGTACTTTTTTCTTTAATTGGAAACTAAATTTGAGGTTTTTTTGTTGTTGTTGTTGCAGAGAGGTCATCAGAACTCATTGGAGATGATGCCAATGTACTTCTTACTAATGATACTTGGTGGGATGAAGCATCCTTGTATCTGTGCAGGTCTTGGCTTGCTTTACAATGTTAGCAGATTCTTTTACTTCAAAGGCTATTCTACTGGTGATCCTAAGAATCGTCTTACTATTGGGTTTGTTCTTCGTTTTTCTTTTTATGTTTCTAACAAAGATATTGGAGTTCAAATGAATCAAAGCACTCTAAAAAGTATTAAAAAGATAACAAAACTGTGTTTGACTGCAAAATCTGGCATTTGTAGATATGGTAGGAATGCTAGGCATGTGTTTATATCCTATATTTTGTAGTGATTTGGTTGCAGTTATGATCAATGATGAAGCATGATCACTGACTTGGGTGTCTAACTGGGACTTGGGAGCATGATCAATGTTATTGGAGTTCAGAATCCTTCTATATATGCTAAGCATGTGATGAAGTAACATCAAGATTGGTTCCCACAGAATCTAATAGAGTAGAAACAAAACTGTAGGAAACAAAATTGCAAAAAACTAGTATGTATAGATGTGGGAATCCTTAGGTATATGTCTCTATCATTGTGTTAGAAAAGACTTGCTTGCAATTATGATCATCACTGACTTGGTGTCTCTTGGTACTTTACTAAAATTTTGGTTTTGGCATGGCTCAGTTCTTTACTTAACTTTTACGTCTTTGTACATCATCATCATGCAAACATTGAATCTGAAACTCTTTCAAGTTCTCGAAAGTTACTTAGAGCTTGTGGAATAGCTTAAACCTCCATTTAGGGATAGATAGAATTGTAGAAGCTTATGGAATTAAAATAACAGGGGAAAGTTTTTTGGAGTGTAGTAGTTAGCCTGTTTGATAAAACTCTCGCTACCTCTGTTTGTGCAGGAAATATGGCTTCTTAGCTATGCTAGGTCTGACTGTTTGCACAATCTCATTTGCGATTACCTTGCTTCGTGGCTCAGCTTAGCCATCTTTGTGAGTTTTTAACTTCTTTACCAATACATCTACGGTGCTGTTTAGTTTGAAGCTCCAAAACAATTTGATTTCCTTGGTATAGTCCCCTTGTTCAAAAACATGTTGACTTCAAATATGTAAAACAAACTGTAAACAGGTTATACAACTTTTCAAGTTGGTGAGTTATATATCAGTTGGCATATCAGTAATTTATGAATTGTGTTACATTAACTCATCCAACAGTTCTAGTAGTTATCTTGACTTTGTATCAACAAGAGTGTCTCTTTCTCATCAAACAAACTCTCTTTTTGAGAATCTTATTGTTCAATCATGGGTATACTTAGTGATGCAGCAATAGACTAACACAGTGACGACAACTAATCATAGGTTTTGTCAGAATCAACTTTGGTAATATTCCAAAACAAAGAATTTGAAAAGCAAAGAGATGGATCAGAAAAAAGGCTTTGGATATACTCTTAAAAAGAGAAATCAATCGCTCAGTTTGTTCAGTTTCGATCATCTGGGGAAATAATCCTCACTTCCATCTAATCTTTATCATGTGAAAAGACACAAAAAAAAAACACTATGAAATTGTTTTTAAAGGGATCAGAAAAAATAGGCTTGGAAACTCTCTGAAAGAGAGAAACATAAAATCGCTCAGTATAATCAATTTCGATCATCTGGGGAAATTATCATCACCTCCCCATAACGTTTCTTTCAAACAAATCTTATAAAACCAATACCAAAAGTTACAAAACCAAAAAAAAAAAAAAAAAAATAGATCCTAGAATGAAGAGAAGAAGCCTTTAAAAGAATTGTGTTAGAGACATTGTAACGATTAGGTATTTATATAAGAACATTGGTGGCTCTGACCAAAAAACAGAAACCGACACTCCCCAATAATTAAACTAGGGTTTATCAACTGGGCTTTTCTTTCGGTCGGTTTTATTTTTGGCCCAATAAGAAAAGAATTGAGTATGGGCCTTAATTAACAAGGTGCTTTTCAGTTTTTAAGACAAGGTGGTACCGTACCTAGGCTTGGGCGGAGCCGGATATTCGGATCCGTACCAAATTTGGTAGTTCCGTAGTTATATTATCCGGCTCTGGATTAATTATTCCGGATATCTGGGTTTCGGATATTCGCATAAAAAAGCCGGATAGCCGCGGATATCCGGATCCAAGTGTTTTTAATTTTCTTTTTTAAATTATCATAATTTTTTTTTTAAAATAAAATAGAAATATATTAATTTAATTAAAATATATATATATATATCTTAATATATAAAATTAGAAAACTATATTATATAATATAAATAACAATATATATTAATAAAAATATTATTAAAATTTTAAAAATGTCGGATCCGGATATCTGGTCTAAAATTTTCCACTATCCATATCTGTATCCGTATCTGGCCGGATCTGTTATTTCACTATCCGGATCCGGTTCTATCCTATTCGGATATCCAGTTTTTTGGAGCAGATTGCAACAGATCCCAGATCAAAACGTAGATTTCGGATAATTGATCTCAGGGCTAACCGCACCGGCACGTATCATAGAGGCATAGAGAAAGAATATTCCTCGTATTTTTACTGATCAATGATTTATGTGACAGAAGTGCTATATATAAAAAGATATATATGATAAAAGTATTTGGGACTTTGGGTGAAGTGAAACAACATCTAATAGAGAGAATAGATCCTTTATATCATACAAATTACAAAATATACACGTTTAAAGTTTTCAATGCAAGTGTTGTTAACTACAATGAGTGTTTTGATGACTTTGTTGTAACACTCATTTTTGGAGTTTCTTAATTAGAGTTTCTCAACTAGTTTAGAGAGTTGTTCATATTTCTTTGTTGGTTTGAACTCAAGTGTGTGTTTTAAGTGATTTCAACTAGGTCCGACCCGGAGCTAAAGCCTAGTAAACTAGGGTTTTAGGCATCACAATGAATAAGTATTTTAAAGGGCAGCAAATTACTAAAATTCTTCATAGTTCAACTGTTAAAATCCTGTAATTTGATATGCCAGTCTCCTGTTTGATTTCCCATTTGATAACTTAAACCACCTCCAGTGGGAGTATATTGAGAGTTTGCTCTATCAAATTAAATTAATAAAAAAAGGAAAAATTGAAAAGAGAGAAAGAGAAATGTGCTAATCAAGGTGTTATAGGAATCGATTCTAAAACAATATAGACACATGTCACATTTATACAAATTCAAGTAATAAAAGAAAATAGAAAATATACTTTATAAATAAAATAGTTTTTTTTTCTTTTTAGCACCTCTCATTGATTACTTAAACTCGAAGTGGTCTTATACATACTTTTAATATTTTTTGTTTTCTCTAAAAATCCATCCATAGATTTCGAAAGGAAAAAAAAAGAACTCGAAACAAAAAATTTGTTTGTGAATGGATTTTTTTTCTTTCGAAATCTATGGATGGATTTTTGCGTGACCACGGTAACCTAGTCTATTTTGCTCGTGTCAAGAAAAACTAAGGCCACAAGGTTTGATCCTCAAGATGAAGTCCATGACACAATGCTCTAAAGTCATGCTCTAGTTATAACTTATAATACTTGTATTGAATACTATGAAGCTATATGTTCACTTAAATTCTCGATCAAACTCCTTATAGAAGGATCTTACAATATTCTTAAAGATCTTACATAACTACGACATGTACATGTATACTTTTTAGCTTCAAACACAAATATTATTGTTGTTTTGGGGATTGCAATTAAAAAAAAAACTGAAAATAAAACACAAAACATATAATGGTTTTGTCTTTACGAAAGGAAACGAATTTGTTGTAAGGGCCACTTTTAGATCCTTTACTTCATCTTCTTCTCTGCTTTTGGAATTTCTTGTTGCTCTTCCTCGGCCTCAACTAAATTTAGAACAAAACATGTTTTTTTTTTAAATGTAAAAAGACCTTTTGTATATTATACATGTATTATTTCTTTTTAATCTCTTGGTATTACTAAATTTTGACTTCCCTGTGACCGGGTATCATAGTTTGAGTATACAAATAATGTTTGGCAAGTGTAATAGACCGCTTCTTTTTGTATATTTTCAAATGATCATAAATGTAATGTTATGTAAGTTAGAGTATTTCTATTGATAAAAAAAAAAACAAAAAAGATGAAAATAATTAGAAAAGTCAAAGACTTAATTTCTTTTATAAGTTAATTCTATATAGAATTAAATTATATTAAAATAATGATAAAATATTAGTAATTATTCAAGTAGGTTTCTTACCGATAGAGATGTTACCGATATAAAATGCACTTATATTCATATTTCGTATAGTATTTTAGAAAACATTTTTTTTTTGTTTACCAAGAGTTCGGGGTCCGGGGAAGACCGGGTGAAACCCCTGGTCAAATAGAAATATCTAGCGTTTTCGTATTTAAGGAAAAACGATCTTTGACCTATACCAACAGGGAAACTCCTCACTCAAGTGGAAATTACCAGACCAAAACCACTTGGTTGTATTTTTTTTAGAAAACTTATTTTCAGTTCATATATACGATTAACGATATTTTTTACCATTCATAATATTCATGGTTTTCACGTTGTTGGCCAAAACTTATAGTGAGACTCGACACCTTAATGGGAGCAACCATCATTTCACAACAGCTTGGTTAAACATGTTTTAAAACATAAATTTGACTATGCATATGCAGCTTTCTTATTTTTATAAAATCACATGACCTTGATAAAACGAAAGGTATAATAAATGACCCACAAACAATAACATATCCACAAAGATATGTCGTATCTTCATACCTTAGTTCTCCTATAAAAGTAGATAGACAAAGCTGCAAATACGAAACCAAGCAACAACAAACGCGAAAACGCGCGTTTTATTCGTCTTGCAATTTGTCTTCTCAATGGAGATAACATCTGGATCGTTAGGCAATGGGATCCCAGAAGCTATGGGACAAACCCGCGGGAACATAAAACGTTGCCTCGAGAAGTACATTGAGAAAGGAAGAAGGGTGATGAAACTGAACCAGTTGATGGATGAAATGGAGATTGTTATCAATGATGTAACGCAACGAAGGAGAGTCATGGAAGGTGATCTTGGCAAGATCTTGTGCTTCACTCAGGTCTTATACCATTCGATTTATATAACTTTTTTTTTCTCAAATGACAACTTGAATTTTTTTGTTAGCAAAATATTAAATAATGAAGGTTTACGGATTTATATTTCAAGATTACTCTGCGAATAGATGGTCATGTTGTTTAACTGATTAGTATATTGTTAAACATGGTTATCCACGCTTTGTGTGTAATTAGGCATGTCAATTAGGGTTAAAGCCCGCGGGCTAGTTTGGCCCGGCCCTGAAAAACATCGGGCTCGAACTTAAATATATGTCCAGAAAAAACCGGGCTTTTTGGGCTAAGCCCATTCGAGGTAAAGGATTTTTTGGGCTTAGCCCGGTCGGGCTCGGACCGGCCCGAAAAACCATTAAACAAATATATTTTCAATTTTTTTTTTAATATTTTAGTTTGATTAAAAGATTTGATTAATGTTATAGTTTTCAAATTTACTTACTAGCCTTACTTATTACTTTTAAAATCTTTATCTATAATATTTTCTCTTATTTATATATGTCAGAACTGAACAAAGCTGTATATATATATAAGTATCATGATTTTGAAATCATCAAAATATATGTTAAATTTTGACTCTATCATATACTTTAAAGTATTTTAGTTTCATGTTTTATTGGGTTAAAGTGTAAATAATTTATTTGGCTTTTATTTTTTTCTCTTACATTACGTTAGTTTTATTGAATATTGATAAGTTATTTAAAATTTGATGCATTATTTTTATAGTAGACCTTTAAATATAGTTTTGAAATACTATTATGAACTTTGAAATTGATTTTTTATCGGTAAGTAAAGCCCAAAAAAGCCCGAAAAGCCCTGTAGCCCTGTTAGGGCCAGCCCGGGCTTTGAAATATAGGCTCGGAAATTTTTCTGGCCGGGCCGGGCTCACGTATATGAGGGCTTTACGGGTTTCGTGCCGGGCCGGGCCGGGCTAGCCCGATTGACATGCCTATGTGTAATTAAGCTTTTTATTTAGCTATTTTATAATATGAAATAAGTATCAAACTAGTATTTGTAATTCTATATGGTATGCATATCCATTTCCTTTTTATGAAAATTACATTTTTCTATAATTTAGTTTCACATTTCATTCAGAAAAATTAAAATATATATGATAGATAAGAAATATACTGAAATATATATTCAAGATTACAAATGATTAAAATCCCATACCGAGCAAATTAGTAAAAAAAAAAAAATCAAAATTATGTATAATAGGCAATTGTATATTTGTCGGAATATAAAGACAATTGTATACCAAAATTCTTTTTTTTTAATCTTTAATTTGTGAAAGTTATTTAATATATTTTGTTTTCTTCATTTTTGCATTCATAATATAGAAAAAATTCAAATGGTGATCAAAATTTATTTGGCACTGTAAATATGTATGAAAATGCAGGAGGCAGTGGTAATACCTCCAAATGTGGCATTTGCGGTAAGAGGAAACCCGGGGAATTGGCAATACGTGAAGGTTAACTCTACCAATCTCTCGGTAGAAGCTTTATCGAGCACACAATATCTCAAACTCAAAGAGCTTCTCTTTGACGAGGACTGGTCGGTCTCTCTTCTTTTTCCTTTACCAAATCAATATACTTTCACTTTCTTGATCTACTTAGAATTTTGTAAATAGGGCAAACGATGAAAACGCATTGGAGGTTGATTTTGGAGCTTTGGATTTCACTTTGCCTCAGCTTTCTTTGTCGTCTTCAATTGGAAATGGGATGAGTTTTGTGTCCTCGAAGCTCGGAGGCCGTTTAAACGATAATCCGCAGCCTCTTGTGGACTACTTGTTGTCACTTGAGCATCAAGGAGAGGTTAATATTAACCACATAAGTATATAAACTGAAACAACATATATTTAATTTTAGGTTTTTACTACCCCAAGAAAGTAGTTCAAAAATATATTTTTTACTTCAAAATACATATATGTTTTAGGTTTGAGAAAGGGTTTTTCGATTATATATTCTTGGTTACTAATTCATTTATGAACCTCTTCTTAAACTTGTAAATCTAAAGTGTAAGTATTTTGCAATTTTAGGATTGATAGGTAATTTCATAAATAAATGAAAAGAAAACATGCATTTAAAAAAGTTTACTAAACATTTTTCGTCTTCAAAAAATAATATTTTCTTAGAATATTTTATGTCTTTGCGTACACTAATTAAGAACAAAATTTTGTAAAAAGAAACTGAATTCATTTGCAAACGAAAGAAAAAGAAAATGTAAACGTAAAATGCAAATAAGCAATGAAGCCTAATCCTAAGCTTTATGTCAATGTTATTATAAAATATCAGAAACTTATGATGAATGAGACACTTAACACGGCTAGAAAGCTTGAGATGAGTTTGATTTTGGCCGATGTGTTTCTATCGGAGCTGCCTAAAGACACACCTTTCCAAGCCTTTGAACTCAGGTTAACCTTTAACTCATCTTTTGGTAGCTATTTAAATTACTATATAATTTATGGGATTATTGGTCAACTGATTTAATTTTGAGTTAACTCAAAAACAGGTTTAAGGAATGGGGTTTTGAGAAAGGATGGGGAGATAGCGCTGGGAGAGTAAAGGACACAATGAGAATATTGTCGGAGATTCTTCAAGCCCCTGATCCTCGCAACATTGATCGATTCTTCGCAAGGATTCCTCGAATCTTTAACGTTGTTATCTTCTCGGTTCACGGCTACTTTGGTCAAACTGATGTTCTTGGTTTGCCTGATACTGGTGGTCAGGTCGTTTACATTCTTGACCAAGTTAAGGCCCTTGAAGATGAATTGCTTCATAGAATCAACTCTCAAGGCCTTAATTTTAAACCTCAGATTATCGTCGTAAGTTCTTTTTCGATCAAGAATCTTTTAAATTAGAACTTGATAACACGATATTGATGTCAAGAATTTGATTCTAGGTGACAAGATTAATCCCAGACGCAAAGAACACCAAATGCAACCAAGAATTGGAACCCATTTTCGGTACAAAGCATTCGAACATTCTTCGAATTCCATTCGTAACAGAGAATGGGATTTTACGTCGTTGGGTTTCCCGCTTTGATATCTACCCTTACCTAGAAAGATTCACTAAGGTAAAACCAATACATCAAGAATGGTAGAATTCATTTTTTTTAAACCAGTTTTCTATGTTTTATCCTCTAGAAGTTTCTTATTGAAACTGTAACATGTTATGAGTAGGATGCAACAACAAAAATATTGGATATTTTGGAAGGCAAACCTGACCTAATAATCGGAAATTATACGGATGGAAACTTAGTAGCATCACTCATGGCCAGTAAACTTGGAATTACTCAGGTTACTTACATTTAAATTTAGTAAAATCAGACCAATATTACTCATTTTTTGTCAAAAAAATAACTAAAAGAGGTAATAAAAAACCAGGCAACTATTGCTCATGCCTTGGAGAAGACTAAATATGAAGACTCCGACATCAAATGGAAAGAGTTTGATAGTAAATATCATTTCTCTTCACAATTTACGGCAGACTTAATCTCTATGAACTCTGCTGATTTCATCATAGCAAGTACTTATCAAGAAATTGCTGGAAGGTAAAATAATTGATTTCATTTAAGACAAAGTATTATTATTTATACCAAAATCGAGCACGTTTAACATTATTCGGTTTTGTTTCGATTTTATTAGCAAAGAAAGGTCAGGACAATACGAGAGCCATATGAGCTTCACACTCCCGGGGCTCTATAGAGTTGTCTCTGGTATCAATGTCTTTGATCCGAGGTTCAATATCGCAGCTCCTGGCGCGGATGACTCTATCTACTTCCCTTTTACCGCGCAAGACCGGAGATTCACCAAGTTTTATCCTTCTATTGACGAACTCTTGTATAGCCAAGATGAGAATGGTGATCACATGTATGTCTCTATTCCCTTTTACTAGTCATTTATAATATATCCATAGTACTATATAAGGTTTCAAGAAGTGGTTAATCGCTAACTAGCCAATATTTTTTTCTTATGAACAAAAGTGGTTATTTGGTGGACAAGAAGAAACCAATCATATTCTCAATGGCAAGGCTTGATCTTGTAAAAAACTTAACCGGATTAACCGAGTGGTATGCCAAGAACAAGAGGCTAAGAGACTTAGTAAACCTTGTGATTGTTGGAGGATTCTTCGACCCTACCAAGTCTAAAGATAGGGAAGAGATCTCAGAGATCACAAAAATGCATTCACTGATTGAGAAATACCAACTCAAGGGTCAGTTTAGATGGATTGCAGCTCAAACCGATAGAACAAGAAACGGTGAACTTTACCGATGTATTGCAGATACAAGAGGTGCTTTTGTTCAGCCTGCGCATTATGAAGCTTTTGGTCTTACTGTTATTGAAGCTATGAGCTGTGGCTTGGTCACATTCGCAACGAACCAAGGCGGTCCTGCTGAGATAATTGTGGATGGTGTCTCTGGATTCCATATTGACCCGAGTAATGGAGAAGAATCAAGTGATAAGATTGTGGATTTCTTTGAGAAATGCAATATTGATCCTAACTACTGGAACATGTTTTCAACTGAAGGGCTTCAACGCATAAGCGAATGGTATATATAAAATAGAACTGTCTACTTTGGGTTAAGCTTTAAGCATTACAATATACTGATTAAAGATAGTTATATTTACAATTCTATGATTATACTTGTGCAGCTATACATGGAAAATATATGCAAACAGAGTGATAAACATGGGGAGTACATATAGCTACTGGAGACATTTGAACAAAGATCAGAAACTAGCAAAGCAAAGATATATCCATTCTTTCTACAATCTTCAATACCGGAATTTGGTAAAATTGTTTAGTCATTTTTCGTTTTACTTGTTGCGAATCGAATCGACACATAAGATGTTTTATTTTACCATCATCTTTTTCTTTGGAACAGGTGAAAACTATACCCATATTGAGTGATATACCTCGGCCTCCTCCACCTCCTCCAAAGCCTTTGGTGAAACCATCATCAGCTAAAGGGTAAGTTACAGCAACTTATTCAGAATCACCACAGATTATTTATATATTAATGTTATTTTCTATATATTTGACAGCAAAAGAACACAGTCACGATTGAGTTTCAGGTTGTTTGGTGCATAAGCTATCATTATGAAAAAAGTATATCTGATATCAGAATTAAACAAGTATCTAAACCCTGTTGTGTTTTAGTATTGTAGTTTCATTATTTATGTAAACGTTCAAGTTGTGTGATTACACATTCAAATAAAGGGAAACAAAGCACAAATATATTTTAACTTTACTGATCAACATAAAATGTCAGAGAAGAAGCATTGTACCGATATTACTAAGAACAAGCAAAACCGTGATTGGAAGATTTAAGCATATTTGTTTCAGGTTTTGGTCAAAATTGGATCCAAAAGGATGTATGTAGATTAAAACTTAGTAGGCTTGGCTATCTGGGACGATATCTGGGACAAATTCATCGGGTTGTGATTGAGAAGCTGTAAGTTTCGCCACCTTGTAACTTTTCGAGCTTCTTAGGATATCTTGCAGGCTCCCCGAAAACCTGTTCACAAGAGACAGGCAAAGAGGATTAATGACCATAGTATCATGTGTATCTAAAACTAACAATGATGCTGTTAACTGGTCACTTACGTATTCGTTCCTCCAACCAGATTGTTCTCTGTTGAAATTAAGAATCAAAGTTAGGATATCTGGTAGAGAGAAGGTGTGATCAAAGTTAGATTTGGATCGATAAAATACCTTGCTTCCTATAATACATAGAAGAAGTTACATCACTATCATTGTCGGATGAACTATTTGATGGTGTTTTAGTAGAGTCATGCGAAGTTGTCTTAGATTCATCTTCTGAAGCATTCCACTTCTCAGCATCTTTGAAGAAATTCAGCTTACTCTTGTTCGCTGTGACTGAGGTAGAGCTTTTCTTTACAGCTTCTTTCTTGTTGTTGACATTCATCTTACTCTTCTTCGCTGTGGTTGGGTTAGAGAGTTTCTTCGTAGCTTCCTTTTTGTTGTTAACTGTGCCTTTCAGGGGTGCATCAGAATGATCAATCTTTGATCCACTGTGATCATTCTTATCCCTTGACTGCAATTGACTAGTAACCGAACTAGATGGTTGAATTCTACCTTTCCTCTCTTTCGGTTTCATTGCACCATCAATGGAACCACCAGGATGCAAATCAAGGCTTTTCTTCTCCTTTTTAGATTTAGCTCCACCAGCCACTTTATCTTGCTTGTTACCACCACCAACAATATTGTCCTTTTGGCTAGAACCAAAATTATCTCCCATATCAGCATTCTGTTTTTGAGTTTGTATGGAATGGTTGATATCCTCAGTATTAACAGCGACCTCAATGATCTTATTCAAATGTGAAGCATTGCTCTCAGTATTCTTCTTAGCTGGCGTGAATGATGCATCAGTGTCTTTTGGGTTGTTGATGGGAGAAACCTCGTCGTGAGCAGAATTGTTTACCTCAACTGACCATACTTGGGCCTCCTCCGCAATGTTCAAAGAGTCTTTCTTCTTTGATCTTTTGCTTGATTTCTTCCCACTTTTTTCAGGATTTTCCGCAGCTTCGTTCTTTTGCTGCAAAGAATCTACTACTTGAGCCTCCACCACAATATTCAAAGAGTCTTTCTTCTTCAATTTCTTGCTTGATTTCTTCCCACTTTTGTCTAGATTTTCCTCACCTTCGTTCCTTTGCTGCAAAGAATCTAATACATTTCTGATAACAACGTCAGGCCCCTCTCCATCTACAATTTTGACAGGTTCAATATTCTGTGCAGCAGAATCTACAAGAGTATCTTCTTTAGCTAGGGTCTTGACTTTTTTTGAACTCTTCTTTTTAGAGGACTTCACTGATTTAACCTGACCAGCATCTATTTCAACTTTTTCCTGAGAAACGGCATGTTCACAGGATGCGTTTTCATTCGTGAATTTCCCAATGCGGTTCAGCGTTTTGGATTCATGGACCAAAGCAGTCGGGGTGCTTGCCAAACTAGCAACTTGTAGATTATTTGCATCTTGTATTTTATCTGCATTGATAGGTGTGGCTTCTCTACTTCCCACCTTGTCGATAAATTTGTCACCCATTTCATTTTCTACAAATAATTCACCAATTACGAGTTAATAGAAACGCTCAATCACATACAAATGTATAAAACTATATTCGACAAAGAATCCAGTTTACCATTTTGTATTGCGTCTACAAGAGTACTGGCAAGCTTTTCTCCTGTCGAGTCAGGAATAGATTCCGAAGTAGCATCAACTTGATGTATACTTACAGATACCTTCTCCTGTTCATTCACAATTTTCTTTGATGCTGCAGTAGCAGCCGTAGATTTATTGTTGTGATCCTTTGAGGACGACTTCTTTTGCTTTTTCTTCTTCTCTGTAGCTAGACTTGTTGCCAAACCACTGCTAACCTCTAACTGACTTTCTGGGTTGCTCACCAAATTATCGGTCTGAATATTATCTACAGAACTTGGTACAACTTTCCCACTTCCCACATCTTCATTAATCTTCTCACCCATCTCATTTTCTACATGAACAATAATATCCTATGAGCGAATAAAAACTTCCAATGCAATCTTAAAGGACAGCAATATTCGATTAAGATCAGGGATTACATCATGAATTTATGAGTTAATCATATAAAATCCCTGAGAGCAAAGAACTGAAATTACCTTTGCCAAGATTTCCACTTCTCAAGATAAGATGAGATTCAGAAGTCGCATCAACACACGCTACATGTCCAGGTAGTCCATTTATTACGTTCACAATTTCTCTTGAAGCTGTAGTTTCAGTAGCAGTAGTGGTGGCAGCAGCAGCAGCAGGTTCATTGTTGTGATCTTTTGAGCTCTTCTTTCGTTTTTTCTTCTTCTCTAGAACTGGACCGGTTGCCAACCCACTGTTTGCCTCCAAATGACTTTCCGGGTGGGTTGCTTGATCATCAGTTTGAATATCATCTCTACCCACATCTTCGACAGATTTCCCACCCATCTCAATTTCTACACCGAATCAGAAATGACATTATGAGTTAACAATAGAAACTCCCTGAAATCTGGTTGAAATGGATAACTAAATTCATTTGAGAACTGACATTACCTTTCTGTACTGCTTCTATGAGAGGGTTTGCAATAATCTCACTTTCTGAGATTGGACAAGATTTTGAAGTAGCATCAACACAATCTGCATTTCCAGGTACTTCGGTTATCTCATTCACAATTTTTCTTGAAACTGTAGTAGCGGCAGCAGTAGATTGATTGATTTGATCTTTCGAGCTCTTTGTTCGCTTTCTCTTCTTCTCTGTAGCTGGACCAGTTGTCAAACCACTGCTAGCTTCCAACTGGTTTTCCGTGTTAGTCACCAACTCAGCAGTTTGAGGATTAGGAGTCAATCTGCTTCCCTCGCCTCTTTCATCATCTTGTGATGTATTCTGTCCATCTACAAGTTCTGAAGGAGGTGGAAGATCCTTCTCTTGGTCAATCATGACTATATCAGCAGTTTTTCCTCCCTTTTCAAGATCTACTGAAATTCAGAAATTTTGTCTTAGGATAAGCCTACCATAACCCTCCATACAGCTCTAATATACGATTCCAATTTTCAACCTTAGTTAAAAAAATGAAAATTACCTTGTTCTGTTATTCCTGTAAGATCATCTATCTTTTCTAGAGCTTCTTTATCAGTTTGATTGTCTGGCACATCCTTCCCCTCACCCATGGTATGCCCATCTACAAGCTCTGAGTTAACAGTGGGATTTTTCTCTTCCAATACTCTGTCTGCATCAGAAGTTTGCGGATTCTCTCCCATACTAACGCCATTTCTCTCGCCGCTTTCAATGTCTACAGAACATCAAATATTACAACCAAAGGTAAATCAACTAACACACTCCAATAACATCTGAAGAATCACAACATTCCATAACAATCAAAACAGAAGTTACCTGTTCCCATAAGAATATCATCAATCTTTTCTCTTGGTGAAACTACACAAGATTTAGAGGCAACTTCAACCTGTAGTTTTCCACATAACTCCGTTGTATCAACAACAGATTGACTGAGATCAACCTTGGATTTCTTTCGACTAGTTTTCCCATCCGAACTTCTAATCTTCCTCTTCCTCGTCTTACTCTCAACTACTTCGGTTTCTAAGCCTTCTTCAAGAATCAAATCCTTAGTATGCATACCATCTACAATTGCAATCTCCTTCTTCTTCTCAACCATCTCAAGATTTGAACGATGTTCATCAGCATCCATTATAGCCAGAACCTCACTCTTCTCAACTCTTACAGCATCAACATAGATAAACCAGTTTCTACCAACCCCATCAAAAGCCTTATACACATTCATAGATTCTGCGAAATGATAAAACTTTCTTCGTCGTTTAACCTGAAATTAAAACCACTCAACCATCACTTTGATGCTAAACAACAAAGAAACGTATATGAACAAAAGCAGCAAAAAACACAATACCTTCAACGCAGAAACATTAATTTCTCCAATTTCTGGGAAAGCTCTTTTATGCTCATAGCGTAATTTGTCTACAAACCAAAAAAACCTCAATAATCAGAGAAACGCAGTCACAGTTGAATTCGAAAAATTAACATCACCACTAAGTTTTCGAAGCCGAATCAGTGATGAATTTGGGGATTTTTGTTTTTGATTCTTCACCTTTGAAATCGGAGATGATTTCATCTTTATGTACGGGTAATGCAAGACCAGTGTCGAGGCTTGTTTCTATGAAGACGCAGTGAATCTCCGGTGAAGTATCTTCGCGATTAGCCATTGCTATCGAAACGAAACTGAAACTGGAAGCAGACGAGTGCGAAGAAGACGATGGAGAAGTTTACAGGGAATCGAAAAGGTTTAGGGTTTTAACATTTAGAGAGGTTAGTCAAATAAAAAAATGGAAAAAAACAATTATTACAAATTTTGGGAAAACAATTTTTTATTTAATTTAAAAATATATATATTAGGAAATAATTTATATGTGGGTGATCTTATGGAATAATTATTTTTTTCTTTCTAAAATACTAATTTTTTATTATATAAAGTTGGGTTTTCAAATTAGTCATGACACGTGTTAATTGAATTGATAAGATGTTGACACGTGTCAAATAATTAATGGTAAAAAATTATATAAATTAATTTAAAAAAAAATATTTTTAAAATAGAAAGAAGAAAAGAAAAATTCAGGAAATTTAACAATTATTTAGTAGTAATCCTAAAGGAAAAAGGATAGTAATTATAAAATAAAATTATTAATAAAATTATGTCTAAGAAATAAAAATAACAAATAAATAAAAAAATACAACAAGTTAGTCAACTAATAGATAATATTAAAAAATATTTGCATTATCGTGAATATTATGTAATATTTAAATATTTTTATTCAGTAAGTCAATTTAAATAAGTTTGGATTAATGTGACATGTGTCAATTGTATCGATAAGATATTGATATGTGTAAGTTAACGATATATTAAAATATTGTAAAAATAAATTTATAAACCTATCGTAAAAAAATTCTACATAAGTAATATATATAAATTATACCTGATTATAATGGATTTTTATGTTAATTCATAAATTTTTATTATATAAAACTTGGTTTTCAAAGTTACTAACTAACGTGATTGTGATATATCTCAAGTAAAACATTAGATGACGGGATATGACACATCTATTTTGTAAAAAATTAGATAAAAATAGAAAATTACAAATAAAATTAAAATACTTCGAAAATTTTACTTATAATTAAATTATTAACCTAATATTTAGGTATGCCGGTCTGGGTTTATAAAAGAGATTATGGTTTAATATTTATAATTAAAAAATATTATATGTCGATTTAGTTTATAAAGAGGGATTAAAGTTTAGCTTTTACAACTAAACATGCTATATGGTTGCCTGAATTTATAAATGAGCATTATGGTTTAGATTTTACAATTAAAAAATGGTTTATGTCGATTTAGGTTTATAAATAAGGAGTAGAGTTTCGATTACACAATTTATACAAGGTTATATATATGTTTTAATTTATAAAAGAGAATTAAGATTTTGATTGTACAATTTTACGAGATTATGGGTTTAGCAAAAGAAATATGTTTATTAAATGATTTTTTAATATTTGATAATTGTTTAATTTTTAAATTATATCTAAATGTTGTTTAATTTTAATTTATATTTAAAGGTAATATGTCATAGTGCAATCTCATTGGTTAAAACAAGAAGGGTGAATAAAAGAGAACTAAAAAATAGTCATTATTAACTTAAAATAAGGATACCAAAAGTCAATATAATTTGTAGTAAAATGATTTCTAAATTTTTTTATTCCAAATAAGTAATTTTGTATTCTTTCACATTTAAAAAAATTTCTTAATGTTTATCTCAACGACACTATAACTCATTTTTTTGGATTGATGTTAATTTTTAAGAACTTAACCATCAAATGTTTTTAATAATTAATTAAGTTTAAGAAATACAATAAATTGCAAAGTAAAAAAATATGCGAGAATATTTTTTTTATAACTGGAAATTAGGAAATAACATTTTTAGGAGAATGGTATAATCATGTTTAGGGTATAATATCTATATTAAGTTTTTAAATTTTTTTGGTAATGGTAATATTATGAAAAATGGTGAATAGCTCACAATTGTTTTGGTGATCGATAGTGATCGATAATTTAACACATGAAAACAATAAAGTGTTATATGGTTTATAAGGTACTACTTGGAGATTCAAGCCAAATCTTTATAATTTTTTAAAAGGTTGTAAATCGCCTTTACAAGTTTTATAAGGTTTTTAAAAACTTTTTATATGTTATTTTTACGTTATTTATAAAAGATATATAAAATTTAATACATATATAAAGGTAATTTGTGTGTATGTTTATAAGTTTACACATATATTTGGATAAATTTCACAATTTTTGGTGGTTTTTGATAAAGTTTGTAATTGAGGTTTTTTAAAAAAAGTGGTACTTTTGAAATTTCTCTTACAATTAAACAAGGTTTTATGCTGATTTAGGTTTATAATTTAGGTTTATAATTTAGGAGTAGAGTTTAGATTACATAATTTATACAAGGTTATTTATCTGTTTCAATTTATAAAAGAGAATTAAGATTGGATAGTACAATCAAACGAGATTATGGGTTTAACAAAATAAATGTGTTTATTAAATATTTGTACCTTTTTAATTTGTTATAATTATTTAATTTTTAATTTATATTTAAATGTAATATGTCATAGTGCAATCTCATTGACTAGACTAAGAGGGGTGAATAAAAGAGAACTAAAAAAGAGACATTATTAACTTGAATTAAGGATAACATAAGTCAATATAATTCCTAATATAATGATTTCTAAAATAATATTTTTTTCCAAATATGTAATTTTTTATACTTTTATATTTAAAAATATTTCTTAATGCTTATCTCAACGACATTATAACTCATTTTGTTGAATTGATGTTAATTGGTAAGAATTTTACAATCAAATTTTGTAATAATTAATTAAGTTTAAGAAATACAATAAATTGCGAAGTACAAAAATATGCAAGAATAGTTTGAAAAAACAGGACATTAGGAAATAACATTTTTTAGGATAATGGTATAATCATGTTTAGGGTATAATATCTAAATTAAGTTTTTTTGAAAATTTTGGTAATAGTATTATTATGACAAATAATTTCAAAAACACCCCTTTCCAAATACCATTTTTAAAAATATCCCTCTTTCAAATTTTATCAAAAAGTCACTAAAAATTTGAAATTTATCAAAAAAATGTGCAAGCTCATATATATACATTTTTATTAATGACCATTTTATGATCTATCTTAACATTTTTGAAGTATATTTTGTACTAAAATCTATTTTGGGTTATAACATTTTATTTTGTAATATTTGCATAGTCAAACCCTTGCCATTTGAATAAATAACAAAATTTAAAAGTAAATTTTGTAATTAAATCACAAGAAAATTGGAAACAAATATTTATTACATTCAAAAAATTTCCTAAAATATCTCTCTAATAAGTTAAATCCCTCTCCAATATATTTATATGATCTTATTGTTTTTAATTTATATTATTACATAACATATATTTATAATAAAAATACAATTTTTTTCACATATTTTGAAATTTAAATTTTTGAAATCGGACGCATATAACTCAATCGATAAAGGAAAAAATATATGTACAACGTCTACATAAGGTATAAAATTTTAGATAACAGTTCAAAACCATTATAAATTGAACGGGTTTGAGTTTACATAAATATGATTATATTTTTCCAATGAGTTATACATATTAAAAATCTTTTACGGGTTAAGTTAAAATATGATTTTTTATTTACAACGAAATCGTCATGTGGTATACCGCAGGTTGACCACATATATCTATGAATCTACTTATAATACAAATTCATAAAATTATATAAAAATAAAATAAAATAAACACGTATAAAACTAGACTATATAAACCAACTACAAAAATATCCACCAAACAAGTATATTAAATTATGGACCCGTGGTGTACCACGGGATAAATCCTAGTACCCTTTTGCAAAACTAACATTTTTTGTCATTTTCATTTTTGCCCTCTCTTAAATTTTAATAATCATTTTACCCCTAGATAAAAGAATATTCTTTCCTTTTCTTTGTCGGCAAAAAATATTCTTTCCAAAGGAAGGAATATTCATTCTAAAAATTTTCCGCGAAAAATTTTCATGCAAAAAAATAGACCAAGACAAAAAATAAAATCCATATGGTTGGTATTTAATCTTATATAAATGAACAAATAACAAAACTAATCGAAAATAATGTGAAAAAGTAAACCAATGATAGGGAGTGTGTAGCAGTGTATGGATAAAGATAAAAGGGTAAAGGAATAAGAAGAATACAAATAAAATTATCTAACTAATTAGTTTGATAAAATCGTGAATATTAATATAAAGTAAGGCCATAGATGAACTATATTTTTCCTATAATTGTTAAAGTTTTATCAAACATAGAAAATGTCTTTTCCGTTAATACTTTAGAGAAAGTGCATTTTTGTTGTATTAACTCTAAAGATATTTTAGCAAGTGTAACTCTGCATTTTTCATTATGGAATCATTTCTGGAAATTGCAAGAAGTCGAAAACCCTTTATTCAATTTGATAGGTTTCTCTCATTCGAGAGCTAGCGTAGTGATCGATTTTGTGTGTTTATGAACATTGGGTTGATTGTTTATGTTTAGATTGTGGTATTTGTTTGAATTTGAAGTGTTGGTGTTAAGTTTATGAACTAATGGTCCACATTTACACTTTCTTAATATATAGAGACATATCTAGATATTAATTTCTGTTTCTTTTTGTCAGTATATTTTTTTTTCAACTTTTGCGGTATATGTTTTGAAAAATTCCAAAATGTCAGTAGAATACTAAACAGATTTTTGAATATACATGTAAGAGAAATTAATTAAACTAGAAAAGAATCATGGAAAAGGAAATGGTTTATTGTGTGTACCTCTTCCCAAATAAGCTTATAATATCTCTCGGAACAGCATGTGGCCTAGTTAAACAAAGCACTGCTGTTTTATCTTTCTTGCCAGAGTAAGAAAGATAGCTAACAAGATCATCAGCCAAATGTCTTAATGTCTCATCATCCAACATGATGACACTATTCATGTTCACCTGAGAACATCTATCATGCAGGTACGAGCCTTTGGCTTTGCTTTAAAGAATTAAAAATCATATCATTAGAATTAATCTCATATTAACATTTATATGTGTATTCAAACAACCATAAATTAATTCTCTATAATCCTTACAATCAAACACAATAATTTTCTTATCTAAAATGCTAATTTTGATTATTTATTTTCTAAATCTCTCAACTTAATTTTATCTAACATTGTAAAAATTTATAATTTTCATTTCACCTTTTTGTATTATTTTAATTTTGAATAATTATATAATGCATATAGCTAATAAAATTTTAGATTTTTTTTTCTTCTTATGTTGTGTGATTCAAATTATTTTAAAAGGATATAAATTACTCAGTTATTAAAAAGGTATGTTTAAAGGACATCGAGAATAGTTATAACTATATATAAAGAGTATGAGCTACCAACTTTTACTTTATCATGTTTGTATTGGAATTTCACAGTCAAACTCCAGCAGCTTTGGTAACCATTTTTTATGTATATGCTTATTTAATCTCTAGCAAATATTTTAAACTACTCTGATATATTTTTCGGACCTAAGGGTGAATCTTATTTTGCTACGAGATGTTCTATTTGTCCTAACTTTTAGAGACTTCAGTTTAGGTATTCGTATTTACGTTCTTTTGTTGAACTTATAAAAGTTATCCAGTACAAGATTTTAATTCACTTAGTTATCATAATATCTTCAGTTTTTTTTTCCTTAAACTAGTTTTGAACAAAAAATGTAAAAGATGTTTGATAATTATGAATTTTTGTCTTTGTTGACATAAATTTCTAGCTACCAAAACTACATTGTTTATATTAAATACATGGTGTCGTAATATATCTAAAATCATTTAAATTGAATGAATAATATGAAATTGGACGGATTATGAAGTTAATGTAGTAAAGATGTGAGAATTGTATTGAATGGATTCTAAACATATTATAAAGTTTTTTGTCCGTCGAGTTATTATATATTATGAAATGAAAAATCTTATGCTATGAGTACGTGAATGAAAGCTTTTATATAATTTATCAAATTGAATTCATAAATAAATATAAAATTATGTAAATGTTAGTTATATAATGTTGCATAATTGATTATATCAATTTAACTCTAGTATGAGTATATTATCAAACAAAACATGCTTCCTCAAATATGAATACCATGTAGCAATACCTTCGGGTTCTCAAACATGAATCCCATCTCCAGTTTTGAATTCCAAGTACAATACTCCCGAGACCATATCAACTTCTCCTCTACATCCAGACTACACAGCTGAGTCTTTTTGTCAACCAAATAGAGTTCAGGTGTATATTTCTCATCTGAGAAATAATAAAGTCCCTTTGCTCTACGTTTACTCATTTCTTGTTGTGACTACTTCTTAGGCATAGGATTTATTGTTTTGAAAGAACTTCTTCCTGCATTCTGCTCCACTTTATTCTCCATTTCCTTTGCATTCTTAACATATCCCACTACATTGATTCCCTTACGAGACCAATTTTGATTAAAAGACTTCATATGAGGATGGCTTTTCATAGAGTCTTCTTAACAACAAACAATACCTCATTGTTTGAGGTTAAAACATCTCTAAATTTATTTACCAAATATGTCTCACGTACTCTAGCACGGATTATCCTCTAGTATATATTTATATCGAGGTTTATAACAAAATGAAAAACATCAGTGTGTTGGTAGATATTGATTTTTTTTTTTAATCATAAAATTAACTTATGTTTTAGTACTCTAGTCCCTCATGTTTACCAAATACCTTTTCTCATGTCCTCTGTTTCTGTTCCGTTGAGTGGTGCTTCGGTTGATGTGTTTCAGAGGTTGCTTGGGGAACAATCTGTGGAACCTTTGGGTTTGGATGAGACGTGTTCAATATATATTTTGAGAAGTTTTCGGAATCATCACCAGGAGAGTCAGCATCATTCAGATCCCCAAGTGTTTTACATTTGTCTCATCAGAACTGTATTTTTGAGTGGCTTGCTCCTCACAATGTATTGACCTTTTGATATGTTTCGTAGGCAAGTTGTATAAACAGAGCATCTAAGATTAGACTAATTAGGGTTAGGGTTTCAGAGGCTTGCTCTGATTTATGACAATAATCTTGTTTTCTCATTGTATCAATGTTTGGTATATGCATTTTTTTTAGTTGAGCTCATCGAACTGCTTCGTTCTTGTAAGAGAAGAACTAACTCGTTTGGCACATCAATCACACATTGAACTATAACTACACTTGGTAAACGAGTTCATGATGATGAACTTCCTAAACCAGTCAATAACTAAACTAATGCACATGATTTAAGATCATATTACTAAAATTACAAAGAGACAAAGTCACAAAGAGATCATTGTTAGTAATTTCAAATATTGGAAAAGAACAAACAATGAGAGACAAAAGTGCTGCGTATGTATAGTTGTTTACAGAAATGTTTTTGGAGCAGTGTCTTATAGTACAATTAAAACATATCTCAAAGCGTATCTTTGAGTGGTCAGAGCTCGTGTCCATTGTGTTGTCGTGTTCCATAAGGAAAAGATCATGAAACAGAGTGAATCCATGGCAGAGACTTGAAGATAGCCTTAGGGCTAAAGGGTCAAGTGTTACAAAGTAATCTTTTGAAATTTTGATCCATTTCTTGAGGGATTCGTTGTTACTTTTTTTTCTCTGTGTCAAACATGTCATTTGATGTATAATTTGTTTGCAATTTGCAGCAAGAATTTGCTAAGTTGGTTGATCAAATGAGAATATAACACTATATACTCTAGTATGCATTGAAAGAGAGACCATTGCACAACAATTTTGAGTATCAATAAGATTTGATTGGATCAAATAAAAATGTAAATTACAAGGGATCTCAATTTCTGACTGGTTATATGGAAAGACAATGAAACTTTGGAGTGATCTTACGAATCTAAACCAAAAAAAACTTTCCCTAATTCTCTGAGATTATACACATAAAAACTGAAGTTGAGATCAAAAGAAGTTACACAAACTAACTTTAAGAGTAAGGATTTACACAAAACAAAACACACTTTCACCATAGAGGATATGACATTTTCACATTGTCAATGTTTTCTTCCACCTTTACTCTCTTTTTGTAAGGCATGAACCCTCTAATCTCGGTCACCACCGACGATTTCAACTGAGAGAAAGCGGATCTTTCGCTTCTTTTAAACTCGGGTGATACCCGTAGTGTCATTTCCGTTTCGATGTTTTCCGAAGAGGAAGAAGAAGAACATAGAACCGACTGTGTTTCTGACTTCTTGACATCTTCAGAATCATCAGAGCTAGTTGAAGAGTTGTAATCACCAACTACAAAAGTCTTCCCAAACAGCTTAAGGCTTTGTTTTGTCTCAGCTTCTGGAGACAATGACTCCTCTGTGTGAGATGATAACTCATTATGCCCCTGTAAAAATTTAGTATTGTCAGACTACAGCTAACAAGAAAACAAGTAACCGAACTATCATAACTTTGTGTTAACAACATACCGGTGAGTGTTGGTAATCAGCTGAAGAAGAGTTTGGTGAATTAGAACCAATGGAATCTAAACCATCTGAGCCATGAGCTGACAAAACCGATGTAGGAGATCGGTTATCTTCATCTTGAACCAGCTTGGCTCCGGTTAGATCACCATACACCATCTCTTTTGCATCTGGAATCACAAGCTTCCTAGGGTACGGATGCATAGGCTTCCTCTTCGGTCTTGGAGGTGGGATCTCAATAGTCTCAGAGCTAACACCAAAATCACGAGCAACCTTGGTGAAAAACTTCTGAGCATGGCTTCGAATCTGAACAGCAGTCTTTGTTCCAACATGTTCTGTTTTCAAAAAGAACAATCAAGAAAAGTCAGATCTCTCTTCTCAACAAAGTAGTAGACTCATACAATGTGCATAAGACTCTCTTTAAAAGTCAGATAAGCACACACACACCTTCGATACGTCTCCAAGCTCTACCATAGAGTTTCAAAGCTTCAACAAACTTCTCATGTTCTGCTTCAGTCCATTTCTCTCTTTGTTTAGTTATGGTATAAGGCTTCCTTGTCTAATATAAACAAACAAAAACATAATTAATCTCAAGTTTCTCAAAGTCAAAACCTAATCAAAGAGTAAACAAGAGATTAAAGAAACACATTTAGTACCTTGAGATAAAAGGCATCTGTGGAAGATATAAGCTCATCAGAAGCTCTGTCACATAAACTTTCCTATAATCACAACAACAAAAAATACAATTAGTCTCTTTAATACAAATGTTTATGTAAGTAAATAAATCAAAAGAGTCTTTAAAAACACACACTAATACGAATCTAGAAGAGTCAAAGACCACCTAGTAATAGTAATTAGAGAAATTAGAAAATAACTTTGCTCTTACCTAATAAAAGCATCAATACATATAAACAACCCGGACATAATACCCGAACAAATCGCCTGGTTCTATTAACACAGATTTTAACCTGCGACAATCAAATAATCTTCAGTTCCAAAGTTCTCTTAGAGACATAGTAGAAGCTTTAAAATCTTGAAATCAGAACAGAACATAAAAAGACAAAACCTAGTTCTTTCTCTCGGACATATTAAAACCTAGTATTAGGTCTGGATTCCAAAACCTCTGTCCATACAAGACTTTTAAACATAACAAATCCAAAATCAAGATTGAAGAAGAAGAACAAAGAAAGATCTCACACCTGCATAGCCATGGTTGTAGAAGAAGGTTAGATCTTGATGACTTTAGATGATATGGTTACTCTCGCCGGAAAAAAACTGAACTCCACCGGAAAAAAAGCTGAAGAATCAAGAGAGAGAGAGGTTTTGAGATTGGTGAGGAGATAGAGAGATAGTAGTAGTTTAGGAAGAAGGAGCACAGAGTCAAGGGGTTACTTTAAAAGAGCAAGGAGAAGATAAGCCACGTAAGCATTTTTATTTTTATTTTTGTGAAAAAGCGTAAAAAACTAAAAATAATAAGAGGGGTTTCGAGAAACTGTGTTGAATCATGTGGCTCAGGTTAAAAGATGCTAATGACACGTGGAAGGTTGTGTTCTCATCTTTTATTTCACTTTTGTCTTTGCGGAGAAGATATTATCTGTTCTTTGTTAAATCTTGTCGGAGATTTTTATTTATTTTAATTTATCCACTAGAAAAGGGCTCTCTCTCAATCAATTTGCCAAACTCGCGATTGGACAAGCGCGTGTGTGTTTAACAACGTTGTTTACTTCTTAATCAAGTGGATTGTATAATTTAAGTTTTAGTTTTGTAGGTATAGTAGTAGTATCTATTAAAGTTTGAAAATAGTGTTTTATTTCTCCTTATAATATATCAGTTTAATATTTCAATGTTTTGCTCACATGTTTGTTCAAATTGAGTTTCAACAAGAGTGTTTTTTTTTCTTATACAATGATAAAAAAAAATGATGTTAATAATTTTAAACTATTAAAAAGAATTATAGAATGTGTTTTTGTTTTTTACTAGCTAATTTTAATCTAGCTGATTAACTAGATAAATAATTTAATTTTCAATAAATGCTTAGTTTTTATTTATGATTTAAGGGTTTTTTCATATATATGATTTATTTATAAATATGGTAACATTATTCAATACTTTTCCAATATTATGATCGACTAATTGCAATATTTTTATCACATACTAACTATCAATTGTTTTTACTTATCTAGTTAGATTTCTTACTTAAAGTCTCTTTTAAAAATTTTTAACGTTGACTCAATTTTCATTGCTATATTTCATCTTACATAGATGAAAGGTGTCTTTTCCACTTTAAACAAAATAATTGATATTAAACGATTTAAACCGTTACACCAATAACAGATCCTGCAAAAAAAAAATTGAAATACAGCCATAACTGTATGTAATGGTAAAAGTAGACAATCATGACAAAGATAGACATATGTTGTCAAGAAATGTTAGTTCTAAACAAAATTAAGTCCTTCAACATTTAAATATATTTTTTTGGAATCTTATTATTCTCAATAAATAATGCTTCATTCTTCGAGACTTTAACAATTTAATTGTTTTGTACATTCTCTGAAAAATATCGCGAAAATAGTGTATCTTAATTGTAATAGATGAGTTAGTGTCTCGGTGTCTCCTAATAATCGAAAAGCATATTAGAACATTTTAAGTACGTTATGAAATATAATATAGATTCAAATAGTTTTTCCCCTACTGTATTGTTAGTTTTTTTTATATTGCTCACATAGGTTTGAAAACTATTTTTTTTCTTAAACATGAAAATAAAACAACTGATATGAGTAATTTCAAATGTTTTAAGAATGCTTATAAGAAAAAATTGAATCGAGTTTGTTTAACCAGATAAATCATTATAATTTTAACTAAAAATTAGTTTCATTGTCTTTTAGTAGCCTATTTAAAATAAACATGTATTGATATTTATATTTAGTTTTGACTTACTTAAAAATCCACTAAAATTAATTTGTAAATGCTACTAATAAATCTAAATTTAATTCCCTTTTTCATGTATTAGTAGATTATTATTAGCAACGTGCAGTACTTAAGCAAATCTTCTTCCTTCTTCCTTATATAATAAATATTTAAATGTAATAAAAATAACTAAGTGATATATCACTCAATAGTAATGCTAAATTTTTAGTGACATTTGAGATTTTTAATCATTTAACTAACTAACACAAATATCGCTCAAACCTTCACGAATCGTACAAAATGAAAATCCACTTCAATATGTTTTGTGTGTGATGCTGTCATTGAATGGTACAATCAACTCCTCATGTTCGGACAAAGGATCAATTGGCAGACATGCTTACAAATGCCCTTTCTCTACGGACAATTCTGTATTTAATTGTCAAACTGGCGTTAGAGACTAGATTATACGATCTGTAGCCGACTCATCTCTTGTATAAATATATGAACATTATTATGATGAAATACAACAGAGCATTCTTGAGCTTATAATAAGCAGTCCAAATTTTATAAATATGTTACCTAAAAAATATATAATTATACATATTGTATAAGAAAAAGAGCGAATTATTTTTCTGTCTTTGTTTATTTTGTTTTTGTTTATAACATTGAAGTTTCTATCATAAATGACTATTATATGTAATTTATTTAAATTGTTTTTTTTGCTTGAAATTTTTTGAAAATAACAATTTTTTTACATGTGAGTGAAAAATTTTACATTTCTTTCAAAAATTACTACAATCTACCGTTTATGTTTTTTCCAGAAATAATTCTCAAAAATAATTAATCTTTGCCGTGTGAGTGAAAGATTTTAAAACTTCTAAGCTTAATATATAACTATAATATGAAATTATTTTGGTAAGTTTATAATTATTTACTAAATAAACAACCAAAATTGTTTTGGTCAAGGTATGTTATCTAGTTAAATACAAAATTAACAAATATCTCTATGGCATTTTCATTGTCCATTTATTCCAGCATTATAAGAACAATATATATAATTAAGGACAAAAACTCAAGACTAAAAAGAACCCTTAGAGAGTTAGAGTAATCATCATGAATTAAAATTAGGTTTAGTAATGAGTAATGACGACAGATCATACATATATAATACATATTCTTTGGTTTGGAGTGCTCTCTTTTTGACCAAAAAAAGTATGTGGCAAAGAAAGCGAGTACCTAAACAAAAACATACACGAGCGTTTGTTCTTAAAGTAGAAAGAGATATTTAAAATCCAGTAGCCGTCACTTTCATTACCATTTAAATTAAAAATTGATTATTAATTTATGTGAAGGACAAAAATTGTAAAATTAAAATATCTTTTTCAAAGTCTTACAAAAAAAAAAAAAAAATCCAAATTAGAAATATTTTTGGTACAACTGTCTGAAAGAGTAAAGCTCTGCACTTTTTTGCCAAGTCAGCAACAAAAAGCGTTGTCCTCTGGGTTGTTCCAAAAGTCATACACGTGGCGTTACGTTAAGGTTAGAGAGATAGAAGAAGAAGAAGGATAAGAAGATGAATGGTTTGTAATTGTACGCCACTCGATTTTTTTTTTTTTTTTTTTTTTATTACCAAAAATTTCTTGCCCACTCGTTTTCTCGTTCGGTGTTTTATTTATTTAAGCTATAGAGAGTTTATGTTTTTTTTTTTTTCCTTCAATAAAGTTTTACATTATTTATTATTTTTAGATCTTACGAATCTGAAATATTCTTTAGATAAGAAAAACTTGTACCAGTAAAATACTTGTGTAATGGCCACTAACAAGTTCTTGGTTCATGTATTTTTGTTGCTTTTTTTCTTCCTTTATGATAAAATGAATTTCTTGAAACACATTTTTTATTTTATTTTATTATCAACCGACTATTTATTTAGTGAATTTTAAAGAAAAGTTCAGTATTTTAATTATTAAATCACTTTATTCAATGGGTTGATATTTACTTCAGCATTGACAAGAAAAAAAAAAGAACAAAAAAGTAGATATTTTTTTAAGTCGACAAAAAAAAGATATTACTTTAAGTGAAATATCTTTGTATGTGAAATTGAACCAAACTATAGTCGTTGAAAGGGTTCCTTATCCAAAAAAGTCAAAATTAAAAATGAAGCTGAATGATTGGAAAATTCTTGACAAAATTAAAAGCTATATGTTTATTGATCTTGGTTTAACATAATTTATAACGAAAATATCTTTACCACAAAAAGATTAAACATGAGGGACAAAGTATAAGGCTACAATTTATTGATTTAGAATTGATAATGGGCTTTGTTTGGCCCATTTATTTATTACATGCTTTGGAAAACAAAACACCAACAAAATTTTCAATTTGAGAAATTGTTCGCTCACTCACTTGGTCGTCTTTCCATATACATAGCAGTGGTTATGTTCGTTTCATAATCGCAAGCAACTGTGACTCTGATGGACATCGTTCCGTTCGTAATCGTCCGACTTGTCGCTGTTATGAAATTTGACATAGATTAGTCTAGCTAGGATTTATGAGATTCTAGGGTTCTTTAGATTAATCCAGCTAGGACTCACATTTCGATATTTATGTTTGGATTTTATTACATATCAAGTGGGTTTTATTATCTCTCAGGTTAGATAAGTAAACATTGGGCCAGTTTTAGAAGGCCCAGTCTTCTAATCGTTACGGGCCCAAAATATATTTGCTGATAATCCTCGCCGTTCCTCGCCGCGCATCTCCTTCTCTCCCCACTCCGGAGACTCGAATACATAGGCCTTGCCGCTTCACCGTGTCTCGAGACTTCTACTGTTTCTCTCGAAATCACTCTGTTTCTCTTTTGCGATTTCTTGGTTTTATGTTATTTTATATAGTTGTGATCAGTGATTCTGTATACTTTGATTTTGAAATTGCAGAAGAGAATTTAAGATAGGAGTTGTTGAGAAATGTTTACAAATAATGAAAGACAAGAAGAACGTACTGGCAAACATGGAACACCAAGGCTTCAATATCTACAGGTCCTTTTTCAAGAATCTTTCTCTTTGTAGTTTAATGATTTCTTCAAGAACCTAGTGTTATAGTATGTCTGAAAGTGAAAAAAAATACATGTGTTTTGGTTTTGTCCCTGTGAGAAGCATTTTTGGAGGAGGTAAGTTTGTCTTCTTGTTAAATTGCAGGAGCTTGTGAGTCAATTTCAAAATGCAACTGATGAAGGTATCATGTAGTTTGGTTTTAGTTGACCATAAGTAAGAAAGTATTGTTTGCATAAGTTTGTCTTTGGTGCTTTCTTGTGATTAATATGTCTATTGACATATTTATGTGTGTGAAAAGTTGAATTATCATGCATTGCTGATTGATTTGTAGTATGATTTTGAGGACTGTGATGCGGCTTCATATGGATTGTTAGGAAACTTAGGTATAGATAAACATTACTTTATCGGCACATAGTTTAAGTTCGATCAACTATGCTGGAGTGTATGATCATAGGCTATTAGGCTTCATAGCTTTTAGCAGTTTAAGTCTTATATTTTGCAGAGTTGTGTAGATTGTCCAACATTTACCAATGCTCCTGCCTTAATGGCAAATTTTTGTCCTCACTTTAGATTAGTATATAGATTTAGCAAGCCTAATCTAGTATATCTCTAGTTTTGTTCCTTAGTTTTGTCAAGTTATATCATCAACACGATTAGTGTTTTGCACCTGCAGAAACAAAGGAGAGAATTGTAGCAAACTTGGGGAATTTTGCATATGACCCTTACAACTACACTATTTTACGTCAGGTAAACCTCGAGTATGCTCATGTTCTATCGTTTTCCATGGAGAATCCAAATACCCCCCCAACACTTGAATCTCTCACTATGAAACGTTAGTGGTGTACTACTCTCGCAGCTAAATGTCTTGGAGCTATTCATAGACTGTCTAACAGAGCCAAATGAGAAGCTTGTGGAATTTGGAATAGGAGGAATATGCAACGCTTGTGCCGGTAAAAAGCATGGAATATACGAATATACATACTCTCATACTAAACTGTTTCTTGTTGCTGCCATAATTGCAATTACTGATCATCAATACCAAATACTCTTTTCTCTTGTTGTGCAGAGCCAAACAATGTTGCTACCATTGTACAAGCTGATGGAACTCCTCTTATAATCAAATGTTTATCAAGTCCTGTACGAAACACTGTAAGAACACATGTTTCTCTCCCTCATTATTAATGTGTCTCTGGTGTTTTAGATGGAAACTCAAAACTGTTTGTTTTCTAATAGGTGAATTACGCGCTTGGGGCTTTGTACTACATGTGTGACTATAACAGAGCAACAAGAGAACAGATTTTGAAAGAAGAAGTGGTGGATCTCATCGAGAGGTACGGAGCTGCTGAATCAGTCAGTGTAAGCTTTAGTAACTTGGCTAAGGCGTTTCTTGACAAGCATGTTCATGCAAATTAAACAGATGAGACCTTTTGAAAATTTATAGTGTCTATTCTTGGTTCCTATCAACTAGTTTGGATTCAGCTTGAAACATACCAAAGATTGTGGATGATAACATATTGTTAGCAAAATATGATTGAAAAATTTAACATTATGAATTTGCATGTAAATATGTCTCAAATTTATATATATGTCATCGATCTTCTCTCTTATTGCTTAGCGGATGTAACTTTTATAATAATGATAATGAAGAAATATCTGTAAATCACTAATCTAATAACATATAATATGTAATGACGACATACAATATATCCTAGCTTATCGAATGCACCATCACTCTTTACAAACTGTTATCCAAATTCGTTGAGAATACAGAAAGCAAAACTACAATTCTGGAACAGTAGGAATTACAGACATCTCTTTCATAGGTTGACTACAAAATTGGGATTATAATAAGAAAGTACCAAATTTTAAATTTTCAAAGGAAGAACAATACTTGGAAAAGCCAACAAACAAATTAAAAAATGGCAACATATATTAAAAAAAAATTAAACTTTTTTTTTCTGGGACGATACACCGCTGTACATGGTCTAATAAAATATTTCCGGGACGATTGTCCCAAATTATCTGAAATTTCAACCACTTGTTGGTTAATAATAATTTCACATTTTTAAAAAAATATATAGTTGCAAAATTTATGAGAAATTCTGAATTTGGATGTTCATTAATCATTACTTTACTTGGACGAAGAAATTTTAAATTGGCAGTGATAATTACAAAAAAAAGAAAAGAAAAAAAAACTTTGGAGAAATCCTCCATAGCTAGTGATGTTAAAATGGGCATGTACCCCCATTCAATAAATGGGTACATTGAAAAAAACAGATCCTTTTAAACCCATTTATTATATAGATTTATATGGTACTAGTATTTCAACCCGTACTACGTAAGGGATTAATAAATAGCTCAAGCCTCAAAGGTAATATGCAATTTTATATGAAACATATTTTTTTGATAATAATAGTTTTAAACATCATAAAAATGATTTCATACTAAAAGAGAGTTTGATAAATACATGTTTGATTTATGATTTAAAACTATTATTATGATGAGAATTTCCCTAAGATTCGACACTCTTAAGTTGAGCAAGGATAGATTTGGCTGGAAAGCCGTGGTGCGGAATAGAAGTTGAATGGTCGATGGATATCACAAGATGCTTGCAGATAGCTTCACGATACCGAACTTAGATCCTTTGGATATATGCACCAAAGAAGCTAAGGGTTTTGCTGGATATACACACCAACAAGAGAAAAACTGGATATACACAACAACTAAAAGATCTCCTTAGAGAAAAGATTTTTGACAAAAAGAAAAGTTCTCCTCAAAGAGATTACAAGGGGGTATATAAAGAAAAGAAAGAACAAGCCTTGGAACTATGCCTGGGCATAAAATCCGAATCCGAAAATCCGAACCGAACCGAACAGAAAAAATTGGATTAAAACCGAACCGATATTGGAAAAATAACCGATCGGTTGTTAGCTTTCATTATTTTTGGATATCGGATTAAACCCGATCCGAACCGATATCCAATAGATATCCATATATAACCGAACTTATAATATATACTTTAATATCTTTAGGATATATACAATATATACTTTAATATCTTTAGGATATATACGTTTGCTGCATATCGGATTTAAAATTATTTTTAATTGATTTAGGATGTCACTGAATTTTGCTACTTTTTCATTAGGAATTTATGGTTTAGTTTGGTTTATTTAAAGCTTTTATGCATCGACACAGTTTTATGCTTCAATTTTATATATTGTTATGGTATTATGTTAGTTGGTTCTTTGAACTTGTCATTTGCATCATTTCTATTTTTTATATATACTTGGATAGTATGGATTATTTGAGTATAATTGGATTTAAAAATATCCGAATAAAACCGAATCTAATAAATTTTGGTTAAAATTTAATTATCACAATTATATCCAAACCGAACCGAAATCCGAAATATCCAAACCGAAACCGAACCGAATTTTATAAATATTCGAATGGATGTTAGAATCAATATCCAAAAAATCCGAAAACCGAAAAATCCGAACCGAACCCGATCCGATATCCGAACGCCCAGGCCTACTTGGAACAAGTTACACGGCTGTCTCGAAAATACAAAGAAATAAATTTAAAACTTAAAATTTGAAAGATAGATTGACCCTTATCCTCTCCTTGGACATGGCTATTAATGCTTAAAGGGCCTTGGGCTTCTTGATTCAACAAATGGGCACTGGTGAAGTGAAACAGCTGCCTCATTAAAAACCTTGTCAAGAAAATCCAGTGGGACAAAACTTGACAAGGGAAAAAGAGTACAACATGACACTTTTCCCATTGTTGAATCACTTAGCTTGGATCAAAAACAAAGTGGTTTGACAAGCTTTTCCTTCATACTTGATGTCTTGACCGTGTTGGCTCCGAATCTGATTAAGTAATCCTCCAACAGCTTCGTTAAACATTTTAGCTCTTGAACGAGTCATTGTACGAGTTGGTATGACAAGAGCATCCTCGGCTACAAGCTTATCCTCCTCTCCTAGTTGGTTATCCTTCCCTCCAAGGTACTTCTCCTCAGCCACGAGCTTAGCTTCTTTAAGTTCCAGCTCTGGTTCATGCTCTATCTTCTTAATGCTATCCATAATCACATCATATTATCAAAAAAATATGTTTCATGTAAAATTGCATATTACCTTTGAGGCTTGAGCTATTTATTAATGAGGCTTGTAATAATTGTGATCGTGTGTAATGTTTTATTGTACACTACACGTTCTTGTTCCTCATGACTTGTCTGTCCATGAGAATCTAGTTCTTGTTCGGTTGCTCTTCATGTCTTGTCTGTTCATGACTTGTCTGTCCATGAGAATCTAGTCTGGAGTCTTTCTTAAGCTATTGTCCTCACTCTCTTTATTTTGCTTGAAATAATTTAATTTTATAACTTTTTTGTATTTTTTTTTTTTTTTTTACTTTATTTTCAATTTATATATCAAATAGTAAATGATTTAAAAAAATTTCAGTCGCAATGATAACAAAACGAACAACCTGGCGACCAGTCGCAGCGATCAATCGCTCCCACCAGCATTTATCCCACCATCACCATCACCATCACCTTCCCGGCGTCTCCATCGTCTCTGTCCCGGCGTCCTTGTCGTCGCTGTAACCTTGTATGAACTCGTAAGAACGAAATTAGATTCCTTTCGTGAGAGTCTGTAGAGTCTGAGAGTCTTCTACTTCTTCTAAATTTGTGTTTTAGGGACTAAATTAGAGTTTACCCTTACAAACAATTTTCAGGGTTTAGGGTTTAGCTTTTCGACCATGGCGATGCTAGGGATGATCAAGAGGGTTACACAGATAAGCAGAAACTATTCGAGGGTCAGAGTGTATCCAGTGAGGCACTTCCAAAGCAAGGACCTTTCAAACACAAATTCATTTCATGGGGAAGATGCTAAGCTTCCTGTTCTGATCGTCGGCGCTGGACCCGTGGGTCTCGTTTTATCCATCCTTCTCACCAAGCTAGGTACAGTTTTCTCCAGCTTTTCATTTGAGCTTTAACTTACATTAGTAATTTTGAGTTCACGTCTTTGATCGAACTAGATTCTCACCTTTTATGATAGGGGTGAAATGTGCTGTTGTGGACAAAGCCACATGCTTCTCTAAACATCCACAAGCACATTTTATCAACAACCGATCTATGGAGGTTGGATTTTTTTTTTTGTGTTCCCTTTGGCTAATTTTGTTTTTGGTGGTCCTGGGTTTTTGGAACCTTAGTTTTTCTCTTTTCATATACTTAGATATTCCGTGAATTGGATGGATTAGCTGAGGAAATCGAAAGATCACAACCTCCTGTAGATTTTTGGAGGAAATTTATATACTGCACTTCCCTCTCCGGTTCAACTCTTGGCACAGTGGACCACATGCAGCCTCAAGGTGTGTTCTTCCATACAATTTTCTTGTGCAAATAGTTCTCATAGAACTAGTGTAGTTGCGGAAATATGCAGAGTTTTCAAAAAAGTCCTTTTGGTGTTAATAATAGATTTCGAGAAAGCTGTCAGCCCGGCTTCTGTTGCTCACTTCTCCCAGTACAAGTTGACGAACTTGATGCTTAAGCGATTGGAACACCTCGGCTTTCATGTTCGAAGTCGCAAAGAGTTAGATGGTCTTGAGCTTGACTCTGTGATTGCGAGGCAAATTCTCATGGGTCATGAGTGTGTGGGGATTGATGTTAATAAGGATAGTGTTACAGCAACTGTTTCTTTTCTCGGAGGAGGCAAGCATATGAAAAGAAACGTTCAATGTAGTCTACTGGTTGGTGCTGATGGTGCTGGGAGTGCTGTAAGGAAGCTCACCAAAATAGAAATGCGAGGGGAAAGAGATCTACAAAAGCTTGTTAGTATCCATTTTATGAGCAGAGAGCTCGGTGAGTATCTGATGATTCGCAGACCAGGGATGCTATTTTTCATTTTCAACACTGAAGGTATAGGAGTTCTCGTTGCCCATGATCTTCAACAAGGAGAATTTGTTTTGCAGGTAGCTACAGACCCAAATCTCAGTTTAATTAGTGTTATATACCATAGCTGGCATGTATTCATTTCTTTTTATTGCAGATTCCATACTATCCACCTCAGCAGAGTCTATCTGATTTCAGTCCCGAGGTATTTACTATTATCACCTAGAGAAGAGTGGATTTTACTATCATCAAACAAAAAAAAAGGACTTTTACTTGTCACACTCATTTATCTGTATGCTTGTGTGGGATTTTACTATCATCAAACAAAAAAAAGGACTTTTACTTGTCACACTCATTTATCTGTATGCTTGTGTGGCTCTTTATTTCCATCCCAACTGTGACCAATTTCGAATGCGATTTTGTTTGTCATTTTTCCCTGAACAGTTTTTTTCTTTTAGATGTGCAAGATGTTGATATTCAATTTGGTGGGACATGAGCTTTCAGACTTGGATGTAGCTGATATTAAGCCATGGGTCATGCATGCTGAAGTCGCTGAGAAATTCATGTGCTGTGAGAATAGAGTGATACTTGCTGGTGATGCTGCTCACCGGTTCCCTCCTGCTGGAGGTTTTGGTAAGTGTTCAAATTCTTCTCAAAAAGTGAACCATATGCTACTTCTTTGACAGTTTTG